CTGAGAACACGCCCGTGTGAACGAGGCCAGTTCGTCAATTTAGACATCAAGAGACTGACCTCCAGGCCACGTTTAGAGCATGTGCTTTAATAATGCAATATGGGAATTACTTTAAATTTACATTATAATAAATGGATATTAATTGTAAGTTGTAGTGATTATTGTTGTATAAATTTATGGCGGTGATATATAATATAATGCCATGACATTGTCACTGATCCAATATGAACATGTATGACGATTTTATTGACTAAATAACTATCCATCAGTAGTGTTGATAGTAGTAACTCTGGGGGCGACCGCCAGAGGTGCCACCTTTACGTCACGGGAACAATAACAATCAGTGCAGGAGTGAGCTGTCGTGACTATCGGATTACACCACCAGTTTTCCCTTACACCAGCCAAGACACACCAGGGGCAGGAACAATAAGAAGGAAAAAAAGATTTACTGTATAATCAACAAAGTCGTCACACAGGTCCAGCATGTGCAGTACATAAATAGTGCTGGTGCGGTAAATGAACAATTGTAAGCAGTGAATTTACTTCACCAAGATGACCCAAGAGGAATTTAAAAGTTTAATTACATTGAGGAACAACATGACAGGCAGAAGAGAGAGTCTACAGTTTGAATTAATTAGAGGGACAAACATTTACATAACTTGATTCACATGATCTTATTGGCAGTGGTGACGGTGGTAGTAATAGGAGAAGTGCTGAGTTGGATCATCGGAAAATGCATAATGGAGGTGGTAAAGGATGATGTCAGGGCAGCAGCAGGGAACCTGCAAGTTTGTGCTGGCCAACAAGCTGGAAGGGAAGCTGCCATTCATGCCATGAGAACGATATTTGGGCAGCGCGATTGTGAGGCCGTTCTCCTAGAGGACGCTTCAAACGCATTCAACATACTTAACCGCAAGGCCGCACTGCACAACATCAAGATCAAGTGTCCAAGCTTTGCAATGTATGTAGAAAACTCCTATAGGAATCCATCAGGCCTTTATATAGTAAACAACAAGGCTCTAAGAGAGGATACAATCATACAGTCAACAGAAGGAACAACGCAGGGGGACCCTGTTGCAATGGCAATGTACGCAAAGGCCTATCTGTGCTCCAACACACAATAAAATTTGAAACTGGGGTCAAGCAAGTGGCGTATGCTGATGACCTTACAGGAGCAGGAAAAGTGGAGGACATCAAAAATGGTAGGACTTGGTAATATCACGAGGCCCACAAATAGGGTACCACCCAAACGCCAGCAAGTCCTTCCTCATTGTGAAGCCAGAACATTATGAACGGGCAATGGAGGTGTTCGGTGGAAGCGAGGTCAAAATAACAAAGGATGGCCAAAGACACCAAGGCGCAGTAATTGGCATGACGGACTTCAAGACCGAGTACGTAACGGAAAAAGTGAATGAGTGGGTTAGGGAAATCCAAACTCTGTCTGAGATTGCTAACACATAGCCACATGCGGCTTTTGCGGCATTCAACCATGGAGTCAAGCATTGCTGTAACTACCTGATGCGCACTATCCCCGATATCGGACCCCTCCCCCCCTCCACCCTCTGGAAGAAGCTATCAGCGTCAATTTCATTCCCAAATTAGCGAAACACCCTCACTTAACCCCAGCAGAAAGATCACTCCTTGTATTACCACCGAGACGGGGAGGAATGGGACTGACCAATCCAGAGGAGATTGCTGCCACCGAACACCTAAACTCAGTTAAGCTCAGGGCAGCCCTCACGGAACACATAATAGCTCAGAACGCAACAGGGGAGGCGGATACCAGTGAAGTAAACAAGATTCGAAGGTCCATTACGACAGAGCGGCCAACGTGATAAGTTGCAGCAACTGTTGCTGCAAGTATCAGAGAATTTGAAGAAAAAAAGTAGCTATAGCGCAGGAGGTGGGCGCCTCGAACTGGTTAACTACGTTACCGATAAGGGCAAATGGTTTCAGTCTCAATAAACAAGAATTTACAGATGCCAATGCTATAGGGTATGATAGGCCAGTAGAAGGTTTGCCCTCCTAATGCGTGTGTGGCTCTTCCTATGACGTCGATCACGCCATGGTGTGCAAGAATGGGGGCTTCATATGCATGAGGCATGGCAAAGTAAGGGATCTCACAGCAAATATGTTGAAGGAAATCTGCTGTGATGTCATGGTAGAACCGACCCTCCTTCCATTGGACGGTGAGATCTTCCAACATAGGACTTCAAACACATCCAACGTAGCCCGTGTTGACGTCAGTGCTCGAGGATTCTGGACGCAGGGACAGCAAGCCTTCTTCGACATCAGAATTTTCGATCCCATGGCCACATGTCACCGTAAGTTAGCTCTCGATGCTGCACACAGAAGGAACGAGAGCAACAAGATAAGGGGATACGGGGAGAGAATGCAGAACGTTGATCAAAGCAGCTTCACTCCTCTGGTGTTCACAATCTCTGGTGGGATGGAACCAAGTGCAAGATGCTTCTACGCCAGACTAGCGGAGGTGCAATCCGAACAGAAGCAGCAGCCCAGAAGTTATGTTACAGCCTGGATGAGATGTCGACTGTCCTCTCTCCTTAGGTCTGCTTTGCTCTGCCTCACGGGAACGAGAGCATTGGCCCCAAAGCCCACTACAGTTGCAGATATTGGCTATGAGGGAACAGTCACTGAATGCCGCATGGATCGGCGGCTCTACTAACTCAACACAGCTAGGATAGCTACTTATGTATTAGGATATTTAATTTTAAGGTAATAAAATGGTGGCAAAGGTGTGGCTATTGGGGGAGGATGGAGGCCACAGTAGTAGTAGTAGTAGTACTTATAGTGGTGGTGGTATTGGTTAGCCAGAGCAGTTGGCAAGCTGTCTGGTCTTCTCGGACTATTCCTTGACGCTGGGTCATGCAACTCGTTAACTCGGGTATGGTTGTTGTGTTGGCGACAGCTTCTACACTTTAAACAAATTCACGCCTAGGTGGCCCTTGGGCCGGCCGTCCTGTTACACGAGGGGCAACCATTATTGGTAGTGGCGGTAGTAGTAGTAGTATTGATAGTGGTGGTTGTAGTGGTGGTGGCGGTGGCGGTAGCACTAATAGTGGAGGTGTTGTTAGTACGTTTTTTTTTTCTTTTTATTGGGCACTCCCCTACATCCTCGTGTTAGGTGAAGCGTTTACAGCGCCCAACAGGGAAGCATGCTAAGTTCATGCTTGCCTTATGTCTCATGAGTTAAGGGCGTAGAAGCCTGAAGAGTCAATGGTTTATGTCAAGTTATTGGGAGCTACAACAACTCCCTGAATACGAATTCGCAACTTTCAACTTACAACAGGTACCTACTTTACTGCTAGGTGAACAGGGACTAATGGGGGCTAGGAAGTATGTCCAAACAACTTCCACTGGCCCGGGAATTGAACCCGTGACATCTCGCTTGCGAGGAGTATTACTAGTAGAGGTATGGCGACCTGTGGTGTAATGGTTAGCAAGCTCGCCTCGCAAGCGAGCGGACCCGGGTTCGATCCCCGGGCAGGGTGAAACTATGAGCAAGTTTCTTTACGCCATTTGCCTCTGTCTACCCAGCAGTAATTGGGAACCTGGATGTTAATCGATTTGCGGATCGTATTCCAGGGTGGTTAGCGAGTTGTCCGGTCTTCTCGGACAACTGAGTCAAGCAACTCGTTAATTCAGGGTGTGGTTGTTGTGTTGGCGACAGCTTCTACACCTTAAACAAATTCACGCCAAGGTGGCCTTTGAGCCGGCCGTCCTCGTTACAAGAGGGGCAACCGTTATATATACTAGTAGAGGTGGTGGTAGTAGTACTGGTAGTGGTGGTGGTAATAAATTGGTGGCGAAGGAATAGCTATTGGTGGTAGTTGTTGTAGTACTGGTAATTGTGGTTGATGATGGAAGTAGTGTTCGTATTGGCGGTAGTGATACTAGTAGTGTGGCTGGTGGTAGTTATACTGGTAGTGGTAGTTGTGTGGCTGGTGGTAGTTATACAGGTAGTGGTAGTTGTGACTGGTGGTAGTTATACAGGTAGTGGTAGTTGTGTGGCTGGTGGTAGTTAGACTGATAGTGGTAGGAGTACTGGCAGTGGTTATTGGTGGTGGCAGTACTGGTAGTGGGTGGTGGCAGCGTTGGTGGGTGGTGGCAGTGTTGGTGGGTGGTGGCAGCGTTGGCGGGTGGTGGCAGTGTTGGTGGATGGTGGCAGTGTTGGTGGATGGTGGCAGGTTGGTGGGTGGTGGCAGTGTTGGTGGGTGGTGGCAGTACTGGTAGTGTGGTGGGCAGTACTGGTGGTGGCAGCGTTGGTGGGTGGTGGTGAGTGATGGCAGTGGTGGTGGGTGGTGGCAGTGGTGGTGGGTGGTGGCAGTGTTGGTGGGAGGTGGCAGTGTTGGTGGGAGGTGGCAGTGTTGGTGGGAAGTGGCGGTGTTGGTGGGTAGTGTTGGTGAAGACGTAGGTGGGTGGGTTAGTGGTGGTGTTGGAACGAGGTGTAGGTGGATGGGGTAGTGGTGGTGTTGGATTAAGATGTAGGTGGGTGGGGTGGTGTTGGAGGATAGTTAGTGTTGGTGGTAATCTGTGGTGGTGTTCGCGGCTTCAATTAGTGACTGTATGGTAAGGTCAAGCAGCAGTGGTGGAACGTTTGTTGCCCATAACCCACAACGTTCGGTGCTAACGTGATGGAAACAAAGAAAGCCCTTAAGGCCGTCCACCCCCAGTAACCCAGGTGACCACACCAGATACCTTTAACGTCAACACTGATAAGAAACTACCATAATTCCTTTTGCATGCACAACTCGATAAAAATGCAAAACATCACATAAATCATGATGCAGTGGTGTTTCTCGTGTCTGACTTTTTATTTCAAACGAGAATATCATTTTCTGTAATAAAGTGGCGGTGTAAGCAAAAATAATTGACGTGATATCACTGACACACGTTACTCATCAAAGATACGGTACACGAACCCGTATTTTAAGGGTAAATTAACATAAACACCGGTGTAAACGCAATCACACACTTACCTAATAAAGGTCTTTTAGTGGTAGAAAAGTCGAAAATTTAACAAATAGTTGTGCACGGAGAAATGTGTATAGACCCGTCCCGGATATCAAGAAACGATGCACCACAACGACACACACTAACCGTCAAACTTCCACTGACGTGCGTTAGGTGGTCTTGGGCCCTTGGTGGTGATGGTGCTGTGGGTGTGTGTGTGTACGTGTGTTCGTTAAATTGAGTTGGTTCAAGCGCAACCCTCGGTGCCTCTCGTGATTGGTTTTCCCGCTTATGACGTCAGTACAAGGCCCGCGATTGGGCGAAGATTCGTGACGTTTCTTTCTAGCTATGTTGTGAGTGGCAGAATATTTGACGTCACACAGCGCGTCATTTGACTCAGGACCATCTGTCTCAACACGGCTCCTGTGAGTTGCTACCTAGGGTTTACAGTATTCTGTGTCTTGGCTTGTTTGGAGAATACTGGCCACTTCGTCTTTCGGCTGTATCACATGTTTGTTTATAAAGATTAAAAACAAAACACAAAAACTAGAATATAATAAATAAAAAATCGTTAGTATCTCTTCATGTCAATACATACGTAAATACTAGACAGAATAGAATACACGAAATAATTACAGAATTTAGCGTTATTCACGAAATGAAAACTATTTAAAGTATTTAATTCATTACGTTAAAACCTGCTTTAATATATAGAAGAAACGTCTTCTTTCTTACTGTCAAATATATACAAAGTTTTATTAATTTATAATGATACACTGCATATTCATTCTAAGTTGAGGATTTCTTCATGGAATGTGTAAATATGCATAATAATACCAGAAATATTTGGGTAAAATATTCAATTGGGTTTCAATTTCAACAGTTTATTCCATAAACTGGATCCTAGTGCTGTCACAATGTTACCAGATGCATCTGGTATTAATATATTCAATATTCAAAAAAATTATCACTCGGCTGCGCATCTCACCATATTGACACCACCACTCAGCTGCGCATCTCACCATACTGACATCACTCAGCTGCACATCCGACTTTATTGACATCATTCAGCTGCGCATCTCACTTCACTGAAACTGTAGGGTAAGTTATGTTTGGGTTCACACTCAGGATGGGATGGAGAAAGGAAACTCAGTGTGCTCTCTGTATACATGTTGTATTGGATGTACAATGCAGCTTGGTGCTGGGAAGGCAGCGTGGTTACAAGCGTTGAGTAAAGAGCTGGTTGGTGAGGGTGCTCAGAGGAGGACAGCTTGTGGGTCGCCATGCTCGCCGGCTGGAGCAAGGGCCGCCAGGCAGAAGCGGAGGTGGTGGTGTTGCTTGCTGGTTGGTGTAGGTAGAAAGAGGAGAGAGATAGGTCACCACGAGGTCAGATCTTATATAGCGGAGGTAGGCGTGGCTTAATAGTTGACCTCCGTGATGTATGGCGGCGCTGGTTGACCTAGACTACGAGGCATACACTGGGGAATTCGCGGGGTCGGCTACTCAGTGACAAACAGCGTTTGTAGGGGAGAAATCCACTACAAAACCACTATTCAGCTGCGCACATCGCTATACTGAAACCATTATTCAGCGGCGCACATCACTATACTGAAACAACTCAGCTGCGCATATCACTACTGAAACCATTACTCAGCTGCGCATCTCCCAATACTGAAACCATTACTTTGCTGCGCACATCACTATGAAACCACTCGGCTGCGCATATTATACTGAAACCACTCAGCTGCGCATATCACTATACAGAAACCATTATTCAGCTGAGCATATCACTAGTATACTGAAACCATTACACAGCTGCACATTTCACCATAACACAATTACTCAGGTGCGCACATCACCATACTAACAAACTCCTTAACTGCACATCTCCCCATACTGACAGTCACTCAGCTGCGCATCTCTTTATACTAACAAAGTAAGTCAGCTGCGCATCTCTTTATACTAACAAAATAAATCAGCTGCGCATCTCACTATCCCAGTACCATCACATAGCTGCACATTACATCATACCAGCACTATAACTTAACTGCGCACCTCGCCTTACCAGCCCCATCACAAAGCTGCGCACCTCGCCTTACCAGCACTATAACTTAACTCCGCATCTCACCAAATCAGCACCATCACGTAGCTGCGCACCACTCAGTGTGTGTGTGTGTGTGTGTGCGTGTGCGTGCGACATCCGCTATGTTGGAAATAATTTTGTAGTAACGTGGACTCGCTAAAGTAACGTGAGGTCACAGTATAGTAATGGGAGGTCACACTATAGTAACGCGAGATCACATTACAGTAACATGTCACACTGTGATAGCTGTTTTTGGTATCACATTGTTTTAATTAAGTTCTGGAACTCTTTCAGTGGCTGGGTTTGATGTAAACACTTATAGCCGTTTTCTTGGGTTTATTGTAGAAGCAGGTATATATACAGATATAATCTGAAAGAATAAATTAGGAATTCTCTCCAGAGATGTTTTGCGAATACACTTTGAGATAACACTTGAGTTGTGTCTGACTTCCCTGTTCAAGTGGTAAGAATCTATTGGCCTCTATCCGAGACGGGTGTGGGAGCCAGCCAGCTGTTTTGATTAATCAGCTGACCTGCGCTCGACCTTTAAGATTGTCGCAAGCCATGTGTTTGTCTTATCAACAGGAGGTTGACTCACTTGGTGAATAAGTTTGTCGCTGACTAGCCGACCCCTCTTCGAATTCACCAGCTTACTCCTCGTGGTCTAACGTCGGTAAACAGCGCCGCCTAACAAAGCGGAGGTCAACTATCATGCCACACCTCACCCCGCCGTGACCTGCCCTTCTACCTACAGCCACCAGCAAGCAACACCACCTCTGTTCCTGCCTGGTGGCTCTCGCCAGCGACTATGGAGCCCCACAAGCTGCGTGTCCTCCTCTGAGCGCGCTCCCCAACCAACTCTCTCTACTCCACGCTGCCACTTCCCAGCACCAAGCTGCATTGTACATCCAATACAATATGCATAAAGAGAGCACATTGTGAGTTTCCTTTCTCCAACCCATCGTGAGTGTGAACCAATATCTCAAAACCCCACACTAGTGATTCGACAAGAGAAAGGCTTTCATCAGTTGTATCCAAATTGGATCTTTAACAAACCGTAATCAACACTCTTAATGTGAAATGAAGATAGCTTTAGTTATTTTTATTTATCATTTCATCACAAGCTAATCGGGCAGTTGGTCCATTCTATTTTTACTTTATGAACTAAATAACGCACAGCATACATCCACTAATAAGAAATATTTTGCTTTCTTAACCTGTGTAGATCACTCAAATAATGTTGCCAAACACCCGTATTAAATCATTTTGGTGTTCAGGAGACGTGCAGTGGCCATATCCGTTTTGCATCTTTTTCTGCAAAATATCATTGGTGTCCGCTAGCGCTTTTAGTCTACAAATTTCCTTTATTTGGAGACCTTGCACTTTCATCATAACCAAGGAACGGCAAACCTTGTCTGACAAGCAAGCTCGTAAAGCTTAATAAATCTCTCGCATGTTCTCCATTTTCCTTAATTTCATTTGCCCTGTTGGCACAAAGTTTATTCTTGAAGGAAATGTCTTTTTTGCTAGTTACAACTTTCAAGCTCAACCACACTTAGAACTTGCGTGCCTTCCACTTCGAACAGATTTTTCAAATAATTTTGAACAGTCCTTCCATTTTGAAAAACCCACATCAATAAATGTTCATTTGCCATGAAGCTCCCCTCTTCTTACTGTGCATGATCATTACATTCCATTACGCTTGTTAGAAGTTGGAAAAACTTTAAACCCGGTTTACAGCTTTCAAATTTAGGCGCGAGTAACCCTTATTATGCAAGGGACCTCATAGTGAGTTTGTTCTGTTATATTCCGATATAAACTACTGTACAAATCCCTAGGAAACTAAATTGGTTCGTCATGCCTACGTCACAACGAGCGGGGGGTAACAGTAGGGAGCACAGTCATTTAAAACAACTGTTTCCACCATCATTCCCAATCCCAGATGTTAATGGAGTAGTACCGACACTTAGCTCAGGGCCACCCCTGCTGTCTTCTTTCTCGGCAATACATGAAGCGTTGTCCCGTTCTTTAGTTTTTTAGCGAAAAAGCCAGCAATAGTTCGTTGCCAGAGCTTCGAGTAAATTTAACACTTTATAATATATCCGAGGCACAACGAAATCAGAACAAAGAGCATGCAATGCCACACACCAGGACATCAGCCTCAACTGCCAACGCGGTTATTATTTTTGGGTGATGCCTGGTGGTGCTGTAATGATGGAACACATTCCAACATGTATTATATTTTCAATTTGTATCTGCCCGGTGTGGACCATGTGGCTGCTAGCAATACGACTTGCTTCCTTAATGCTATTCAGTTTATCGAGATTGTAGTTATACTCTCCCCCTACAACTGCCACTTCCATTAGTCGCCGATCAGGAGACAGTTTCTCAGACAAGCCTAGCCATCTAGACTCAGTAGGGTTCGGCCACCCTGAGTGTTTCTCTGCCACCAGCGACGCTTACTTCCGGTGTTCGTGTATACAAGCTCCCAGCCTCGCCATGAAGTCCATTCTACCAAGAGCTCTGCAGCACACCACACCTCTAAAGAAGCTCCTGCACAGCAACTCCTCTACTATGCAGAAACTTCCCAGCAGCAGACTGTTTTGTATACAATATATTTATAGAGAACACGCCGTAGCCGAGTTCCCCTTCTCACCTCCATCATATCCGAGATTCATCATCAGAAAACCCCCACAAGATGTTTTCACCAAATCCAAATTCGTCTATTTGAAAAATGAATCTAATTACAATTTTCCAGAGAGCAAGACAGCCTTTGGGCTGTGCAAGCCAGGTCTTCTTAGAGGTCGAGGGATGGGGGCAAATGACACCCCTGGCGACTACTACACAATTACATGACGTCTTCACCGATTTTCCTGATCATCCCTTGTTTAAGATACTTCTCGTTGCTGTTCACTTGATCAAATCGGTATTTTGTTAGGAACGCATTGTCACGTGCCTGTGGCACTCGGGAACTCGCATAGCCTGGGGCATATGTTCACGTCTACATTTAACGCAAGCTATTAACTTGTTAATTGTACTTATATTATTATTGTTCTTAGTTACTTAGGTTAATTGTATATTTATGTATGTTATTAATATGCATCATTGTGTTACTCTAAGTCAAATCAAGAGTAGTATTAATTAATTATATAAAATATCTAGCAAATGTCCTGGATCATGTGTTATGAGATGCGCTCCTCCACAGCGTGGGCACGCTTACCCAGTAGCGAAAAACCGCGGCATATGGTAGAGGTGTCCATTCGTTCTCTAGCCTTGACCCTTGTCCAGTGCCTTGTCCAGTCTTCTGCAATGCCCTAGGGGTATCAGGTATTAGTGACACGTTTAGTTAGGCCTAGGAAGGGATCCTGGTGGTAAGGAATCTCCTGTTTGGTAGGAAATAACTATTTTGTAGGGATTGTTGTATATATACTGTATGTTTGTGTAATCTAATTATGTTAAGTAATATTCGTTTGGTCTAACTCCGTTTGGTCTAACTCCGTATGGTATATTTTCGCCCTTCTGGCATCACTTATTTTAATATACAATTACTTATACCCTTAAATTCATGTTTGCTAGTCATTACTCCCTTTAGAACATAAATTGAATTAATTAATTATCTTCCCTTTTGCGACTTATTTCAACTTGTTCATACTTATTCAAGTACATTTAGTCGAGTAGGTTTTTGTGGGGATAATTATTGCCGTGTTCCCTATTTGTTCCTTTATTTGTTAATAACTTGGGAAGTTTCACTCCCCAGGTATAAAGGGTAGTGGGATCGCCACACGCATCCAGATCGCTAAACGTGTTTTATTCAGTAAAGTAATTAAAATCAATATTTTTCATTAAATTCGGTATTCATACAAAGTGTAGTGTAGAATATATAAATTTCCATTTCCAGTCCGTTTTATATTAGGGTTATATAATTATATACTGCAGGTACCCAATACTTAAAAGAATTTAGTCATATATATATATATATATATATACATACATACATACATACATCACGATACTTTACGTGACAGGGTATGTAGCTATGTATCTATAGAAACAGTGCGGTACATACAGTAGATCATTATGATATACAGTAGTACAGTACCTAGTAACTCCAGCTACAGAAAAAAAATAGATTCATGGGAATGGCACCACATCTTCAATGCAGTATACAGGGAGTCCCCGATTTACCAAAAAAGAAAGATACGAACGGGGTTAAACTTTAAATTTATAGCATTTGATTTACTCGACAACTTATTTTTTACTTTCATTTACTGTATTTTATCGTTATTTCTTTCTCCTAAATCAAGTGATTTTAGATGCATATTAGGACTTGGGGTATGATATAGCGGGATTTTAAACATTCTGTAAATACGGTATGCACATAGCACGTGTTCCAACTTGCGTACTAATCCGGGGACTCCCTGTACAATATATTGTTCCTTGCATACACGACCTTTTTCATTCCTATGCCTAAAAGCATAAAATTCTATTCGAGACCAATTCTGGCTTTCTCCGAATTGCAAATGAAAGGTTCCATAAAAGTCACCAAAGACCAATTATATTTATTTTAAAATGCCAAATTTTCTATTTTAAGGACACTGAAAACGTTTAAGTTCCTTGTCGAACCGCCTGCAACAACTACAGTACCCTGTACATGGGGTGTAATGTATTATATTGCCATCATATGCTACATCTCGTTTTACTAGAGAAAATATACTAAATAAAATAAAATAGGCAATAGAATTAAACAAATACTACAATTGTAGCTGCAATGTTTCGAACCATGAAGACATTTAGGACATCTGGTTAAAAAATCAAATCGTGCAAGAGATGTTCTTCTCTGGTATAGCCACACCTTTCATAACCAAATAATACAAGGAGGCCCTGTTGTCACTGCGACCGAGGAGGAGGTAATGGTCCATGATGGTGGGGAACCTGTCTGAGCGGACTTCAAAGTGCTGCAGCCATGACGTCCTAGGGGCACTCAGCTCTGTCCAAAGTTTCAGTATCTCACCTGCAAATATGGTCCATTGTTAGTGGTTTTAGCAGCTGGATATTTTCATCCATCTTTATCCGTTATGAAATTTGATAAATTCAACCAAAGTGATTTCATTACGTCTCAAATTAAAGTATGTACAATACAATAAATGGGTTAATAGCCTCTATAAAAAAGTGACCACACAATTTCACATTTGCAAATATTGTGAATCCACATTTACAGACATGAATAGTAAGATTTTGAACACTGCTTACCAAGTAACTAGTCAACAAAATTAGGATGTCCTGTATTATGATCTACAAGTTATCCTTACCCGAGAATGTGTAGATGACAGGGCACAGTTCCTTTTGTGTAACAACAATAAATGTGGCTCCTGTGGCTGTATTACCTACAGAAAACACTAACAACTGCCCAGATGTTGTCAACACTTGTATGCCAACACACTTTAAGATCCTTTCTTTAACATAGTACACCTGAAATAAATTTTATTTATACTATCATCTATAGATTAGTACAGTATTGCAGTTCTGTCTATTTTTGGATAATGTTCAGCCACAAGTGAACTAAAATCAGTCAAAAATATGTTTATAATAACGATTTCTTCAAATTTACAAAAAAAATCCAATATACAAACCCGTAGAGTATACACTGGCTCCTTAAAGGTAAAGGAGGTAACAATGAGGACCAGTATAATATTGTTGTCCTTGGTGAAAAGGCTAGCATAGTTGATGGCAGCTTTGGGCAGGTCAAGAGTGAGCGTGGCTATCCTGTCCACCCATACATGGCCGACACCCCCACGACTCCTCCAATATACCACACTTCCATCCTCCTGGACCACCTCTGCTCCCACATCTTGTGGATTGTAGCGAATTAATTGAACAACTCACCATTGATCCATTGTAAGCTAACACTAATACAAGGTACCAGGTTGTGAATTAATGGAGATTCTTAGTCAATTATAGAAATCTGAAAATATCAAAATTTAACATAGCTACTGTTAATTTTATGACCTATGGCACCAATAAAGCTACATACACTGTACCCTCGTTAATTGTGATAGTTGTAATTCAGATTTCGGCTTAATTCTAATGTTTTTTCTCGAAAAAGAATTAAAAGATTATAATTTCCGAATGAATCTGAAATAAGCAAGCAGTTCCAAAAAGTCTATTATTATTATTATTATTATTATTATTATTGGAATACAGTATATTAGGAAATGGATCAAAAGGAAAGAATTATGGGAATAGAATATGAAGAAATCGAAGATATTGTACAAAACTACATTGGGTGTGTAGCCGGGGAGAGGAGGACGGAGGACAACACGCCACCTCCCACTCTGCAGCCAGCAATCCCTTTAGAACATTATGCAATTCACCACAATTGCATACAAGATATCTGAACGCCTTTCTTAAAAGACCTACTAGTTTAATTGCTTGATTCACCTTCTCGCAATTGCCCGAAAACTTCAGTTCAGTCAACATACACCCAAGTCCTTTTCACATTCGGTTTCAATTAATAGTTTCTTCATCCTGCTGGGACATTTAATACGCCTCCTTACTGTTGGTATGACTTGGGAGCATCCTCTTATAATTCGTGATATTGAACCTTGACAGCCATTTCTTCGATCACTGAAATTCGAGATCATTCTGCAGCTCTTCTCAGTCTGTTTTTGTTCTTAATTTCCCGTTATTACTTGGCATAGTCTGCAGACATTTGTGCAGATGTGTGTATAGCTTTTGGCAGATTATGATCTAAACAAACAGGCCCAGTACACTCTTGTGGTACCCCACTTCTTACAGTGGATACACAGGATTATTTCTTGCCATTAAGCCACATTGCTTGTAATCATGAAGAAAGTCTAATCCATACTAGGACATTCCTGAATCCCGTACCATTCCAGTTTAATTCTCAGCCTTTCATGGGGTACCCGGTCAAAAGCCTTTGCAAAATCCAAATATGTATTACCACCCTGTTCCAGAATTCGAACAACCAATACCTAGTGTGTCGAGCAAGAGCGTTAACGTAAGTGATGGCAGTTCTTTTCAAGATTGTTTTAGTACATGTACCATCATGTTCAGGCTCAGTCTAATTATTCATGGAATAACTATCGCTTGGCTTGAATATAGGACTCGCATTAGCCATTTTCCAGTCACTGGGACATTTTGCTCATCCAGGCATTTACAGAACAGGATCTTGAGGGGCTCAAGCAAGCTCTTCACACAACTCTTAGCACTCTGGGATGCACTATGTCAGAGCCAGGACTCTTAGGAAGATTATTCGCATACTCGTGAACACAGGAAAATAATTTGTTGAACGCTTCCTCCTCGTCCTGAACTGAATCTTCACTACTACCATCTTCAGCCCTCAGATCAAATAAGCCAACACTTTTTTAATTTAAATTTTACGTCGTGATGGAAAGCCTTTGGGTTCGACTTTGCCTCGCTTGCACTCAACCTGTCAGTGAATGTTGTGACAGCACTAAGTGTGAACTTATTCAAGATCAAATTTGACCAACATGTTTAGATACACTCAGGGTTCCATACAAGCCCAATAATTGCCAACAGTATAGGGGTCCCGGGTTATTAACGGGTTCCGTTCCCGAGGAAGTTCTCAAGTTGGATTTGTACGCAAGTCGGAGCACATGCTGTGTGCATACCGTACTTACAGAACAATGTTTAAAATCCCACTATATCATAGCCTAAGTCCTTATATACATCTAAAATCACTTAAGATAAAATAAGAAATAGAATGATAAAATACAGTAAAAATTAAAAATAAATAAATCGTGTAACTAAAATACTGTATATTAAAGTTTAACCCCTTTCGTGTCGGTGGGAGTTCAGAAGTCGGGACCCCCTGTACACAACAAACCACCTGCCTGACCAGCTGGCAAGAAAAATAGCAGTAACAAAATGCAAATACGAGAAAACAGAATTTACTTAATACTGAACATTTATAAAATTAGAATAAGTGCATACCTTACCTACCAGGTATTTACAGCTCATGAAACCTTCATAGCCAACAAAATTTGATCAGCACTTTCAAGGCTTCGCAAAGTTTGACTCCCTATTATTCCTCGAGCTCTAAGGTCACATTTCACCACCAAGGGTACATCAAACTTACCTGCAACAGGAGATCTACCTAGCTGGCGCCAGGTTTGACTATCTGCCAAGTAGGTATAGGTGATGGTTATGTGTAGAGCATGCACATGCAGTAGAGGCCCCTCAGGCAGTGTCTCACTTGACAAGTGTTCACCGGCCGCTACCACTTGGAACACCTACAAAATATTGAGACAAGGAAATACTAGTCTATCGTAACATTATGCCCCATTTAATCTCTCCATACACCAATCATTCCCAAGCTTCTCATTATTTCTCTGCAGTATTTAATATGCTAAATCACTAGATCAAAATAATCCCATACAGGACTATTGATACCACAACAATTATAATTACTAAAATTTCTTTATAGAAATGCCAAATGCCTATTCATATTCATCATGGAACTCTGCCCAAACAAAAATTAAAAACAAGATGCCAAGTTATTCTCAACATGGATGCAAGAAATTACATTGGTCACAAAGTCCTGCAAACACTGGATATGTTAAATGTGGTGGGTAGTAAAGCAGTTGAAATTTAATCATACTTTTAGAATTTTCAAAGGACTACCATGAGATATTACAAACATTAGGGATACGAGCTGGTACCCAGTGTCCTATGTCAAAAAAAAAAATATTCTTTACAGCTATAAATGACGAAACAATTGCCTAACCACATTAAAACCGTTACGGTCAAATAGTTGAGAAAACAAATATACATGACCAAAAAACCCACAATGAGCGGGATATTCTATATAGTAGTACTGTATTACTATCCATACTTATTTTTCAAGTGATCCATCAGTTTTGGAGAGAATGTGCAATGTAAAGTTGGTTATATTAAAAAAAAAACGAATAGATTTACTATTACGGATTAGTAACCAAACCCAAGCAAGATGCAACTGGATACAAGCATGACTGCTTTGTTACTTTTCCTCTCGTATTGCCCCCACTGTTTATCAATGTTTGTATACCCAGACAGTCTAGGTACACTTGCTCCAAAAAAGTATCAAGATAAGAACCGACGAATTTCAAAATGAACACAGCAACTCCGGTTGTCTTGGTAGGGTTGTCAAAATCCTTCATCCGTTGCCATGTGGTCTCGCACAAAATTGTTCAAGATACTTTTGGAGGAAGTGCACTGGAAACTGTGTACCTGCACGGTCTGTAATGTCTGGAAGCAGGCTAGACTATACTGTATACAGGTATCTGCAGTCTATACATGCCAAAACAATTTTAAACTTGCCTGACTCGCTGAATGAATAGCAATCTAGCATTAAATAATTTCAATGTTTATAGCTTAATATCAAAGAACTATCAGCTGATGAACACCTTATACTGGCCAGAAATATCACCAGTTCACAACGTCCTATTTCTATTCTTTCCTCAGTCACCTTGAGTCTGAACAACCGCAGTCCAGGAAGCAACTGTTCAGACTAATCGAGTCATTTGCTGAATGTGTTCTGAAATACACCCTTTCACATATCCGTCGAGACATTGTTACATAACTAGTTGACAAATTTCATAACCGTATGACAAAACACACATCGAATGACACTAAAATAACTGTTCGTTCAGGCTAACGGAAGTGATTGACACAAGTTATGAAGTTGACAGACGAACAATAAACCGACAGTCTACATATAGTTTGAGAATGTAACAATTGGAGAATGACATACCACCAACAGTTATTTTAGATTGCCATTCGATATGTGTTCTGTCATTCGGTTAAGAAATTTGTCAAATAGTTATGTAACAATGTCAACGGATGTGAAAAGGTGTAGTTTAAGTGGCGAGAAAAAAGTGCCCATCATGGGAGGATCCCAATTTCTGAATGGAAGGAACGTGCCCCCCCCTGGAGGAAAGATGGACACATTTTGAACTCCTTCGGCATAAAATCTATAAATTTCTAGGTTACACAATGCTTACATGCCCATGTACACTGACGGATCCAAAACTTGATAATGTTGGGGCCAGTACGATATATGGAGTAGAGAATGGGAGTGGCATCTTCGCTTGTCACAATATACAAGTACAGCACTTTCTTGATTTAACGAGCTAATTCGAGCCACCCGTTCGTGAAATCGAAGTTTCTGCTAAATCGAGCTTCCCATTAGGTTTGCTCGACTTGCCGAACTATTTTACTAAATTACTGAAGGTAATGGGACTTTTATTTAAGAAAGTGAATGTATATACTTGAAGAAATAAAGGTACCAAAATACATTAAAGTGAATATTTGCTTCTAAATTGAGAAAAACAGGTAAGACTTTAAACGGTTTTGCTTTTTTGGTCATACATATTGGGATACCTGTACTTGCCAACAGTGCATAATAAATATGACACTGACTGGCTCAAGCCGATTAGTGAAGAGGAAATAGTAAAGGAAAGTGAAGACCATTGCATGTTCCCTAGGTCACCTAGGAAGACCCATAGGCCGTATCAGCGACAGAATCACCAATTTACAGCCGTTTTCCAGGGTTGCATGGATTCGCCAAAACTAAACAGAGATTATGCTGGCAGTGTTTAATCATTACACATACTGTATTGAAATGAGACTAACATTTCTTACCTCAATGTTATAAGGAGTGACCTGCCAGATGGTGGTATTTGTATTGCTGCAGGAATTACTGGTTGAAGAGGCTGCCATTGCAACAAACACCTGCGAAATGAAATAAAAATATTTGTGATACGGATACAGTAATTAGGATAATTATTACTCCTGCTCATAACTCAGGCATGTGATTGGGAGAAAAAAAATACCGAGCTAGGGGGTCCGGGGAAACGCCTGCCCGGGATGTTTTTACTGTATAAAACCATTCCTCACGTTGTTACTCATTTCGTTAGTGCCTAATAATTAAAATACCTGTACAAAGCACCCAAAATCAAACCTGTTTACTGCAACAATATTTTCCATATACAGGTCTTGATTCCTTTAAAAATTTTAGTTAGTAAACTTAAATGGTTAATATTTTTAATTGTGCACCATTATTGAGAAAACATACCTTTTTTTTGCTCTGCATTCAGCGAGAATTCAAAATTTAATACTCACCAAAGGGATTTATCACTAATGCACCAGCAACTGGGGTTTCAATAGCATATCTAGAACTAAAATAAGAAAAATAAGCATGTTCCACGATGTATACAAACAAAATATTTGGTTTTCTTTCCCATGTAATACTCAGTCACTTGGTTTGGTTTTATTCTTTGTTTTAATTGCACCAGCTAGTTTTTTCAAGGATAGTAAATGCTTCGGTTTTTGTTGCTGGAAGGCCTCTGCTCTGCCTTGATTTGTGCTATTTCCTTGCACTGTTTTCTTCGAGCAACTTTAAAAAAATATATATATTTTCTTCCTGCTGCAACCTCCTCCTCCTCCGTAACATGCTTCTATACCTACTGCAAGAGGGGTTATGTTTATACACATCATAGGGTCCCGCACTCCTGGGGGACTGGGAACATGCCCTACAATCCTGACCTGGGGGGGGGGGGGGGGGGGGAAGACACCCTATAGTCCTGACCTCCTGGGGGGGAGGGGGACAAACACGCCCTACTGAGTTGCCTATACAATTATGAAATATGGCATGGATTATATGATCAATTTTGATCAACGTGTAAACTGATCATAGAAACTTCATTATATTGAAAAATGCTTAGCCCCTCCAGGGTGGATCAAGTGGATAGGGTGGAGGGGCATATTATAATGCGAACGGTGGCGTTGTATGACGTCATTGATCTTCGAACAATGAAATACTAAAATATCAAAGAATGGAATGCAAAACAAGCAATACTCAGCCAATAATCAGTAGAGTACAAGATGTAATGTATGAACATGAGTGCGGCCACTATACTCTGAATACTGGATCTAAGTCCTCGCGTGGCAGGCCCATCGACCGAAGTCAATTCTTGTCAAACATTTCTCTTGTCATGGTCATACCACCACCCCACCCCTCCTAAAAATAACTTACTCCGCACGGATCTATGCGATTCACGTGGGTTGCCAAAAATCGATGGTGTGGGAGGGGAGGTTAAACAGGAAAAAACCGAATTCCTAATAACTATTCCCCCAAAATCTCACCATGTCCATTCCCTTCAGCAGAAGCCAGTGATGGCCATATCCCGAGTTATCCAGCCTCTGGTAATGTACAAAGCTGCCACTTTCTTTCTCCCACACGAACACATCAGAGTAGCACTGTCCTTCGTAGCTCATTATGAAGTAAGTCGTTTCCCAAGCCTGGAAGAAGGGACATGCTAAACTTTCTGTAGTGCCGAGGATACAGTAATTTAATTTACTTGTTATTCATAGTAAAACTTACAGTAAAAATGATAGAGGAGTGATGCTGTTTAGGAAAGTTGTAATCTTTCACATCTGTGAAAAAGTCTCCCTCAAAGGCACAATCCTCCAGCTTCTTGTACAACGTGGCGATGGGTTTACACACGCTCTCGAATTCACCCTGAAAATACAGTGAGCAAAGGAAACTGCAGCTTGTAGCTAAACTGTCTACGTTCATAAAATATATAACGCGCACTCCTCAAAATACAATACTGCACACGAAAGGGGTAGGGAGTCGCTCATCAAAACATTGTAGGTTGGGGGTTTGGTTGCTCGTCAGAGCAGTTTCTGGGATGGGAGGTGAAGTCCCTATCACCAATTTGTGGTGAGGGTTAATATTTTAAAGCAAAACAAATACCAAACTACAAAATATTCAATGGACTATTGGTCATGAAGTCCTGCAACATTGTAAATTTTATGAGTGGCAGGTAATGATGCACAAGGGTCCGAATTGCATTTTGGGAATTTTCAGCGGGGTGCACACTGGTATCTTACAATAAACAAGAACTAGGAATATAAATCATTACAGAGTAAGGGAAGTAAATACATTTTGGTACAATACCTGGTGTCTATGGTCAAGGAACTAACTCCAGCTATAAAGGATAGAAACAATTTGCCTCACCACATTAAAACCAGTAATGTAATCAAATTAAAGCCTTAACTAAAATAATACAAAGCTGATGAAGTCTACACGAGAAGTGATTTTCCGTCTCACTAACCATAGAAAGTCATAATTTTGAAGTGATCCATCAGCCTTGGATAGTCCAAGAGCAAGGTAATGGTCATTCAACCAATTTTTTCCTATTTTGGTTATTTACTATTACCTGTATTGAAAAGTAATCGAGCCCAAGCAAAAAATCCAACTGAAAACAGGCATCTGATAGCTTCGTTGGCTATCCTTGGTTGAATGACCTTAGTTGACCATGGTTATGTATACCTACACTGTATAGGTACACAAGGAGGGACAGCATGGCCGGGTATTGCTTTCGACTGCCTTGACTTCCCAAGTTGCAAGCTTAGGTATCCATTTAAAGCTGGGTAAACTGGGAGCTTCCAGGAATCGATCATCAGCCTCCAGAACAAGAGACGAGCTCTGTATCCACTCAACCGTGTTGTAGTCAAAAACTTAATTGACATTTATGGACTATTTTTAATTTTCAACTGAAAAAAGTACAAACCTTAAACTCCTCTGTAATGTTCTGGAACATCGAGAGGGCAACAATGGTCTCCTTGTAAGCTTTGTCTACCATTAGCTCATCGATGGGCCCTGTGGACACCAGACCTGCCTATCCATGGAGGAAAGCCAGATTTAATTTTATTTCAGGACTCGCAAAATATATCTGGTATTTTATCACGCACTACACATGGCTTATTCTACAACTTTAACGGAATCAAATCCTAACCATAAGGAACACTTACCCTCAATAATGTGTGTGCACTAAAGACAACTCTAGCACCAACAGACACAGGTCTGTCCACAAACCAAGCATTCTTGTACAAGTCTGGTATAAACAGGTAATTAATTACTTGTGTTGAGCTCGACAGACTTGTTACTTGTAAGTAGGATATGAACTCCATGGTGCCTGTATGTAGAAAACAAGTAAACACACATTTCCAGGATTAAAATTTCCACATTTCAGGAAAATTATGTATTACCGTCTTGAAAAGGTAAAGTATATGCTACAGTAAACAGTATCAAGAAAAACATTATTTCAAGTACTTGTACAAGTCTTTAATTACCTGAAATTTGCACATCACTAGTCAAGAGAACAGTCTGATCAGCAAGCTTCACCGTGACATGCCGGCCAACACGCCCAGAAACAAGGACATTTCCAAGCACCAGAATCCTCCCAGAAACTGTAGTCAGTCCGACCACCGTCTGCCCACCCACACTCTGGTGACCCAGTCAGTCATATGTTAACTCAGTGAAGTAATGTTCAATCTTATTAAAGTATGTCAATGATGAGCCGTCATTCCAGGAGTTGGCTAAATTTTGCAACTACAGGTGTACCTGTATACTATATCATTAAGGTCACAATGTAGAACCTCCAGTTCATTGACCTGAACTTTATGAAACCACTTGGAGGTTTAATCTACAGCAGCTCTCAAAGTTACAGCTTTAAAATCACTTAGATTATCTCCAAGGTCATTTCTCAAATCTCATCATTCTTAGCCTAGTCCTAACTCATTCTTGGCCTAGCTCTAGCTTTTCATTTAAATTCTTGCACCTCTTAGCCCACTTTTCCATTGCCTCAACCATCTCAGCCTACCTCTGCACAACTTGCCTCAATACCCAGCTCTGAAATAGGTTTACAATCTCAATGTTACACACCCAACTTTCCAATCTTATTTCAGCTTGCTCGAACCTACATTTAATTGTCAATAATAGGTATTACAAAACTTTTTCCAATTAAAATTTTATGCTCAGTCATTTGAATTGGAGTTACATAAACTGTACATTTAATAACTCAAGTACTGTACAAGCCATCAAGTTTCAATAATTATCATAGGCATGATCTGTAAGGCTACTTTTTTCTTAAGACTGTACATGTAGAACGGTCTTCAGCCATTTCTCTTAAATGATCCAGCTCTTAGAATGCCAAGTACAATTTATGATTTTACGTTATTTCAGTTTATACCCCAACATATGCTGAATGTGGTTTCTTTCGGTCATTGGTACTTTTTTTGCATCAGTGTTATATGTATTCTACGTGATACAGTAATTTGTGTCTGGCCTAAGGGTTGTATGTGCAATATCTCCGTTCACCGGAAACACTCAAACCCGGAAATCTCCAATAGCCGGAACCGAAATTTACTCGGGAAAATCTTTCGCAAAGCTGGAATTTTCCAAATATTTCCGGGTTTAGGATCAAATGTCCGAGGTTGAAAATAAGAGAATTTTCTGAAAAAGTCTTGAATAAAGATGAAATCCAATTTTTCGGGGTCTGGATTTGACCTGACCAGACAATGTCAGGTGGAGGTAAGGTGGGGGAATAGTACTCATTACTGACCTTCTGATGGAATGTCAGATCACTTTATTTGGTGGGAGATTAGTGGGTCTCATGACCTGAAGATGTCTTCAATAAGCACGAAACCTAAAGTATTTTTATAGATATTGTGATAAGTATACGTATAAGTGGGCAAAGTTGTATCCCTTCAACATTACATTTTAAAATATGGAGAGAAGGCAGAAAGGTGTGGGTGATAAGAGATGGAGTGGTAACATACACCAAGTGTTGCCAAGCGATAAGCTCCTCAACAGATCTCTTAATTTGCTTCCATGCAGTCACACAAAACACCCTCACTGGATACTTGTGGTCTTAATTCCCGTGTGTGTTTTTTTAACTTGCCAAACATTTTACAATACAATTCCTATTTTAAAATCAAATGATACAGTACGGCTCGACTGGGCTACATTTGCACTTTGACAACTGATCAATGAATAAACCAGGGCATATGGAGATGCATTATACACTAGTGAGGTCACGAAGCTTCGTATCTGCAACCACAACTGGTGAGCAACCACAAATTATCACAGCCTGTACTCAAATGTACTAAGTTAATTACTGAAAATATTAAGTATGGTGCAAAATAAGGGATGTTCATACTCAAATTATCTTGGTTCATTTAGTGCAAAATGAGAACAGTAATATGCTGCTTAAAATTATGGCTTTATCACAGAAAACAACCCCCCCCCCCATCCCTCCCACACCCACCCACACTCAACCATCCACCCGAACTTTTCCCAGTAACAGGGTGGAAAAGATTTGGGATAAACAATTTTCAGGGTTTGAGAAAGTCATCTGGTTAGCCGGAAATCTCTCATCCCTGCAAGTGCTCTGCACCAATTGTTCCGGCTAATGGGGACATCACTGTACTGTACCGGATATTTTGGGTTTATTATCCCAAGGTTCATTGCATCCACAGTAAGTTACTCAAATTTTTAAGATTCATATGAATGTTATACAATTGGCCCCAAAGGTGCATATGAGGTTGAAGTTCTAATGTATTAAGTATAAAATAACTTTTTTTTTTACCTTTAAATCATCTCAAAACTGCTTCAGCAAGTTCATCATTACAGTATCACAATTTCGTCAAATGTCTAACAGTTCAAATAATTATAGCTGCCATAACCTCTTAAATTATTATAACCTAGTCTAATTCAACGTGATAGACATCCACTTCCTAAGCATTCAAGGGATTCTTTTTACCTGTACAGTACTACAAAAGCACTAGAGCATCCATTGAAGTTAAAAGGAACTTACCAGTAATGTATTCGTCTTTTCTCTAAAGAGATAAAAAGAATTGACTGTTCCTGTAACATCAATGTAAGTTGCAGTTATGCTGCCGAGAGTGGCATTAACCATGATGGTCTGTTCTGTGGTGGTGGTCAAATACTCTTGAGCTAAGTTGTACGAGTTAAGGAGCACTGCCTCAAGGTTTCCTCTTACGGAGATGCTGTGCAAGAACACCTGTAATGAGAGTTTCACAAGTTTAAAATAATACCAAAAAATGGTTCCCTACCAGTGTCTACCCCTACATCTCTGGCACTACAACCATATTATCTTTCAGGTGATCAAATGGTGAAATTTGTACAACTCAAATATCACAAATGTAAGTAACACTAAAGTGATTTGTGAAGATTAAACGGAAAACGCTTAGGGTTCCAATTTGCCTTATTTATTGTGATACAGTGTTTGATGGACATGAAATTACTCGTACTGTATTTTGTGAGAAATAACTAGGATGAAGAAATTCACTTCAGATATATGAAAAGATGTGCCTTGAATCCAGGACACTGACCACCATTAGTCAACATGGAACTAAGGTTAACTGATGGGGCTGTAAGAAATTGCAAAGTAGTGTACTGTATAGGCTTAATTCAGTGTACTGCAGTACAGTACATGATATGAACAAGGACTTGGGGTGGATGTTGAAAAAAATTCTTGGAACATTGTGAGAAGGCGACTAGCAACTAAGCTAGGTCTTCTAAGAAGGTCGTTCAGATATGTAGATGGTCCATCCCCCGTAACACCTTCAGGAGCAAGGTGCTTCCCTGTTTGGAGTAGTCACCCGTCTGATCCCTGAAATATGCTAGATTTTGTCCGTGGATTGAAAATTGACGAAAGGCCAACAGACTGGTGCCTCCTCTACAGCACCTCAGTTACGGAGAGATTAAAACACATGCAGGTGCCTAGCTTATACTATAGGTGGGCAAGGAGTACTTTAATTGAAGTTTATAAAAAATTGAGGGCAATACTCAGTTCAGTTACACTACACAGCTTGCCTTAACCTTACCAGTTCTGCATTAATGTTTTGTTCCCCCGAGAGATACACTGCACCAGCTTTCAGTTTCTTGTAGTCAATGCCATCAATTGAACCCTGGAAAACAAAATTTCAGTAAGTAAAACATTTACATTAATCAATATTTCTTAAATCAAAGAATACAAGTACTGTACTATACCCACATGGACAGTCAGGTGCTGGACCGTGACCCAGGGTGCAGACACCACCCCATATACAGTAACTGCTCCCGATATTGTGTGTGCTGCATTTCTGGTCACAACGTTGGCAAAGAAGGCATCCAGGTAAACCGAATTTAGGAATTCTACAAGCAGACTCTTGAACCTGGTGTTGGCCATGAAGGTTTTCCTGCCTGTAACCACCACTCCACTGTCCTGCAGCCTCACAGCATCAACCAAATTTTCAGCAACATCTATCCCATTCAGGGACTTTCGTAGTTCTAAGTTTCTTACCATGATGCCATTTGTAAATCTCACTTTCCCTAAGGCAGTAGATAAGAAAAACTCGTGAACGAGGTCATTAAGCTCCAATTGAATCTTCATTTAATATTCAAAAAAACTTAAGCCATAGAAAACAGGTTTATGTTGGAGTACTGTGATAGCCTTTAGTGTAACAACCACTCTTACCTGTACGGATTTCCTCATTCTCCATCAGTGCTCCGGAAGCCAATCGTTTCAGATCTATTTTATTGAACAACCCTTGTAACTGTACATTTTTCTCAGCAGAGAGGTCCGAGAAAGAGTAAGAAGCTGTGATGACCTGGTCTGTGTGCAGAGTTAACAGTCTAGTGGACAGGTCAACACCATTTGTTCTACTGGTAATTAAGTTTCCTTTTATTGTGAAGCCGTTCTCCAATATTTTGGTACCTGAAAAGTAACTTTTTTTTAAGGAAGTACAGTGAGTGGCAGGTACGCCAAGAGTTCACAACTCCTACACCAAAGTTATTTCTGGCAAATTTCTGTACTCATTTTATTTTAAGAGGCTGGGACCTTTAGTATAAAATTAAATAAAATACCTTAATTGAATTTTGAATTGAAACGGCTTATTTAGCCCGAAAAACCTATACAGAGTGAATAATAAAAATATTAACATGGCTGAGCCAGTAGAGAACCTGAGCTCTCTTTTAGGCACCTGATATATACTATACATTTATCTCAAGGAAGTATTATGTAACCTTTAGTATCATCTGAAATAGTACAATAGCACGGTGGTAATAAGTACATCTCAATGTTACCACGGTTATCACTTCATTTTTTTATACATAAATTAGTGGAATTGAAAAACATAAGTATAATGGGGGAGCAGTACAACATGGTTTGTGCAGTAATAAGGTTGAACAAGAGGACAGACCTGTCAGGATTATGACTAGTCGGCAAATATGTTTATTGCAATGGTAATTACTTATCTATTTACATCATTTTCTTTTAAAGTATACTACTAAACAAAGAATCAATCAGCTGAAGAAAGCCCGCCTCAAGAGATGGCAACACATCTATGCAGATCACACAATTTCTATTGCTCCCTTAATCATGGCTCTGAACAATTTAAATCCAAAAGTAGCGGCGAGGGCCCAAGGCGAGTGATATGATGAAAGGGTTTTGCAACTACTGAATTAGGATTTAGTGACTTTTTACAAGGAATTTTGGGCACATGTTAGGGGGCTGCAGATGTCAACCCAACATTCCCTATTGAAACGCAATGACAAATAAATTGGACAAAAACACGCTATCCCACTCTTACATTATTCAAGGGGCGTGGTGCGGGCGGCGGACGTGGTGCGTGTGGGAAGGGCGGAGGGGGGGGACGTGGGGGGGAGGGGAGGGGGCCGACGTGGGCAGGGGGCCGACGTGGGCAGGGGGGGCCGACGTGGGCGGCGGGGCAGGGGGGGGCGACGTGGGGAGGGGCGGAGGCGGACGTTTGTGCGTGTGGGGGAGGGGGGGGACGTGGGGAGGGGGGCGAGCGAGCGGCGGAAGTGATGCGTGGTGGGGAGGGGGGCGGCGGGCGGCGGAAGTGGTGTGTGGTGCGTGTGTGTGGAAAGGGGGCGGACGTGGTGCGTGTGGAAAGGGGGGCGGACGTGGTGCGGGGCGGATGCGGACGTGGTGCGTGTGGAAGGGGGGGGCGGACGTGGTGCGTGTGGAAAGGGGGGCGGACGTGGTGCGTGGAAAGGGGGGGCGGACGGTGCGTGCGTGTGGAAAGGGGGGGCGGACGTGGTGCGTGGAAAGGGGGGCGGACGTGGTGCGGAAAGGGGGGCGGACGGTGCGTGGAAAGGGGGGCGGACGGTGCGTGGAAAGGGGGGCGGACGTGGTGGTGCGGGGGCGGACGTGGTGTGGAAAGGGGGGCGGACGTGGTGCGTGTGGAAAGGGGGCGGACGTGGTGCGTGGAAAGGAGGGGCGGACGTGGTGCGTGTGGAAAGGGGGGCGGACGTGGTGCGTGGAAAGGGGGGCGGACGTGGTGCGTGTGGTGGGGGCGGACGTGGTGCGTGTGGAAAGGGGGGGCGGACGTGGTGCGTGTGGAAAGAGGTGCGGTGGTGGCGTGTGGAAAGGGGGGGACGGGCGGACGTGGTGCGTGGAAAGGGGGGCGGACGGTGCGTGTGGAACGGGGTGCGGACGTGGTGTGGAAGGGGGCGGACGTGGTGCGTGGAAAGGGGCGGACGTGGTGCGGAAAGGGGCGGACGTGGTGCGTGGAAAGGGGCGGACGTGGTGCGTGTGGTGGGGCGGACGTGGTGCGTGTGGAAAGGGGGCGGACGTGGTGCGTGTGGAAAGGGGGGGCGGACGTGGTGGTGTGGAAATGGGGGGCGGACGTGGTGCGTGAAAGGGGGCGGACGTGGTGCGTGTGGAAAGGGTGTGTGGAAAGAGACGTGGTGCGTGTGCGTGCGGACGTGGTGCGTGTGGAAAGGGGGGCGGACGTGGTGCGTGTGGAAAGGGGGCGGACGTGGTGCGTGTGGAAAGGGCGGACGTGGTGCGTGTGGAAAGGGCGGACGTGCAGGTCGGGGGTGCATGGCGCTTGCGTGCGTGTAAAATGTAAAATTTTTGTTGTACTCACCAGTTATAGCTTGGTGTTCACCCAGGTGTTTGTAGACAGCATTGTGCTGGAGAAGGCCAAGGTCCACACCATCCACCAGTCCATCCACCTCCACATCCCCATGTAATTCCACACTACTGAATACCATATTGCCAATGAATATATTGTTACCAGCTAGTTTGGCAGCAGCTTCAGCAAGAGCACTAATGCTTAGTTCATTTCCTCCTACTTTACCCTTTGTTGTAATGGATCCTTCAACATTCATCGAGGAAAACCTTACTGGGCTCTCTATGACAGAATCTGTATCATCTGTAATTATGCTCCTTTTCAGCTCTTTAATCTTGTAATCATTTATAAATTCTGCAGACAAAGTACCAACCACAGCGATTTCTCCATCTACATATAAAACAGCTGTATGATTGACGGCTTCTCGTAATGGTACACGTTTCTTAACCAATTCTGAAAAGTCTACTCCATTCAATTTGAAACCATCCGAGAATTCTATCATGTGTGTCATCATGGATGAAAACACTGCAGTATGTAGTGTCTGTGGTGCTATGAATGTCTGGGAACTGCTTCTTGTCACCACATTTTTAAAGTCTACACCTTTGACTTTACCTTTCACAAAGAGGGAGGCAACCAACACATTGTTCATGATCTTTTTGCCTGACACTACCTGTTCTGTCTTGTTCAGGTACAAAGCAGAACTTATTAGTTCATTCAAGTCCATACCATCTACAGAATTCGCAACTAGTTTATTGAAGGTAACATCTTTTTGGAATGTTATCAATCCTTTTATTTCTTGTTCGGTATCAATTGTCACTAGTGACTCTAGACTCTCTCCATTTAAGGAGCCAGTAAAATGGGAGTTGGATATGGATAATCCAACATGGAAGGTTTTTCTGCCCGATATCCTTGAAGGGTTATCATTACCATACACAAGGTCAGCGGCAATGGCCGTGAAAATTATACCATTAATTTGTCCATTGTATATAATTCCTGGCATTCGCACAGGTTTCTTGAATATTACATTAAAATCCCAATCAGCGGACATGGTTTTGTTCCCTTGCATAGCAAACAATTCATCTAAATTAACTCCATCAATGACTTTTGTTGTTATGTCCAAATCTCCTACAATGTCTATGCCTTGAGTAAATACTTTTTTGCCAGTAATATGTTGATTTGAGGTTTTTGTCACAAACCTATGAGGAGAAATATCACCAATGACTCCTTTGGTACCAAATTTGACTTCATCTATAATAATTTTGGCAAAGTTCTTCTGATCAGTAAAAACTAAAGGCACATTAGTCTTCAAAGGATAGTTGCCTGGGAACTCTTTGGAATTAACATCCCCAGCGTACAGGTTCTTCTCATTCACTACTGACTGAGAGACGATCAGTTTGCCCGACATAAATGATTCTTCATCTTTGTGCACTATGTCATTTAGCAGATCTGGAATATTTATACCCATTATATCTGTTGCTTCAAGATAATCAATTACCAGATCGCTGTTAAATTCCAGTGTGCCAGCACCCTGACTCCCAGATGATAGAGATCTGTCAAACAGACGGTCTAGGTTCACACCGTCTAATAAACTAGACATTACTTCTACATTTCCTCCTACTTCTAGCCTTGGGAAATATGCACGACCTGAAAAAGATGAAATGGTCATAAAAGCTTCGAGTTGAACGTGTGCAATGGTATGTTTTTTTTTTTTACTATAACATTTCTATCCAAGGCAGTGGTTCTTAAACTTTCTTGCCTCGCGCGCGCGCCCCCCTCCCTGATGCAACCCTTGGTTATTATAGAGTGGGAGGGATGGGCAATCGTGTACAAGATGCGTTCAGTTCCTGAAAAGACTTTTCTGACTGCTCTTGGAGTCTTCTGGGCGCGCCCCCACAGTTTAAGAACCACTGTTCTACGGTATTGAAGATTATTATTATTATATGTACTGTATTAACTCCGATCTTACCTAGGACTACAGATTCACCCAAAAGCACAGCTTTTGATAGATCTATGCCTGCAACTGTGCTGCCATCGTGCATCTTAATATCCCTCATTGCCACATTATTCATGAAGACTGCTCCTGCTATTGTCTGGCTGCCTGTTGTGCTTACGAGGTCACTAACAGCAACATCGTCCATGTACAGTGAATACAGTTCGTTGACAACCATCCCCTTAGTAAAGGTCTTCTTTCCCCCAATCTTAAGTCCATAGTTTCGTCTGTATGAAAATAAATTAATTACGTCTTTCATAGATTTGATATTTTGTCTTTTCCAGAACAAACATATATCCTACAACTATGGTTTAGTAATCAATTTAGCATTTTTAGAATTCAGAGGTACTTACATAACAAGAGAGGATAAAGTGTTATTTAAAGAAAATGGATTTCCTGTGATGTCCAGCACTTCCCCAACAAAAGCAGAGTTTGTAAGCATGGTAGGGAGATGAAGCCCAGGCCCTACCACTGTCTTGAGACCCCCAATGATCCTGCTGGTGCCCGAGGAAGAGACCGCATCTGCCAGGAGTAAAGCATGGCTGTAATGACTAGCCATTAACAAGTTGTAAGAATTGCAAGATCATTATAACTAACTTATGTCCTGTACTGCAGTTTCATCCATTTGAAACACAGTAACCTTATCAAGCTTTAAACAGTTCCAATGTTTTCATCTCATTTTCCACGAAGTTTTTTAAGACTTTCATATACCAGTTAGTGTCATTAGATATACTTTAACCCTTTCACCAAGGCCAGGACAGGAAGCCGTTTGTTCTAGACAGTAATTTCCTCTACCTGTAATTTATGTGTTCCTTGGCCAATTGGTAGGCATAAGGCTTCGAGAGTAAACCCCGAATGAAAAATCTGCAGTGTAACCCCACATCATGCAGACATGCTTACACAACTCCAACAAGACCTCAACGGCAGTATAAGCGGAAGAGGTGACCACCATGGGAACCCAACGACTAAACCGGCGGAAGGGGACCAAGGCGAAACCCAACAAACTGGGCTATCGGCATCCCTTGCAACTCGCTCCCCTGTCGGTGCAACACTTGCACCACTGGATCGGGGAGAGCAAAGATGTGTGATTGAAGCCTGTGCTCCTGCCTCATCACAAATCAACTCCCGCATAGCCATCATCCAGACCATACCTCTTCAAAACCCCCTATACCCCCAAAAGTCGTAAAGTGATAGGGACAGGCAGAGATGACTGCCGCTGGAGTCTCAAGTTACAACTCGGCACATGGGCGGCACAGATGGTCATTTATGCACTGGGATCAAGACAACTGTGCAATCCGGTTCTGTCTGTGCAGCCCTTTCAAGGAGCCACTCTGCTCACCCCACAGAGAGGGGGTTAGAAAAGGTGCCTTAAACATAACCTGCCTAAAACAAAAAATGACTGGACAACCGCACCCAGTAAGGTCATCCTTATGCCGGTCAAAAATACAATAAAAATCACTGATCCAAACAAAAACGAACAATACAACCTCTTATGGTGGCTGAATGGAATGTCAAGACCCTTCTGGACACGAACAAATGAAGGTCCCAAAAAAACCGCCCTTGTGGCAAAGGCGCTGGCGAGGCATAACATCGACATAATAGCCATCAGTGTCCCGGTTCCCAGACGAGGGTCGACTCACAGAACGGGGGACTGGCTGTACCTTCTGGAAGGATAAGCTTGCTGCAGAGGAACCACATCTATAGTTGGCTTTGCCATCCGCCAACGCATCTTACACAGGCTAACTGAAATGCCTATTGGGATCAAGGAGCGCCGCAGGATGCTCCGAGTCCCACCGAATCGCTCGCGTCACACCTTTTTCATCAGTGTATACGCCCCAACATTGGATGCAGATGACACCAAGGAGGACTTTTACGCTGACCTCGACAGAGTGCTAACCTTTATCACCAGAGAAGATAAGGTTGTGATCCTTGACTTCAATGCCAGAGTTGCTGACATTTGGCAGGGAACCATAGGGAGAAATGGACTAGGCAAGAAGAAAGCTGCGGCCCAGCGGGAACTTTGCAATCCATAGAACTATGTTTAAAAATAAAGTATGTGAAACAAATTTGCAGATCAGCACAAGATCTGCAAGTTTTTCAATTCCACTAAAACGTTTTATTGGCCAATTACTCGTGGCTCCCTAATTAAAGACGAAGAAGACCTTCAGTGCTGGAAAGAGCACTACCATTCACTGCTCAACAGAAACATTGATATGGATGTCCTGGCTACCCAGCAGGTCCCTCACCTTCCAGAGCTGATCCACCTCTGCTATCCTCCATCCCCGGAGGAGGTAGCCACTGCCATCAAACCTGAAAAATAAAGCCTCCAGGGCCTGATGGAATCCCAGCTGAGGTGCATAAAGCAGGAGGACCGCAGCTTACCAGCCGTCTCCTGGAGAATACAAGGGAAAAGGAGGAAATCCCCAAGCTCTTAAAAGAAGCCTCCATCGTCAATACCTACAAGAACAAGGGACACCAGTCAGACTGTGGCAGCTACTGCAGGATCTCATTGCTGTCCATAGCAGGCAAGATTATTGCCAGAGTCCTCCTAAACAGACTCCGAGGCAGAAACCTTCCTCCCAGAATCTTAATGTGGCTTTAGACCAGGGGTTCTTAACCTGGGGTCCATGGATGGGCTTCAGGGGGTCTGAAGGTCAGATAAAAATTTAACATTTATATTCACTATACTTTGTGTGTGTCATACACTGTATGAGGCAATGAATTTTCAATAAAATAAAGTATAATCATTGCATGCAAAGTTGTGTTTATGCACATTTTTCTAGGGAGGGGGTCCATAGCTTTCACCAAACTCTCAAAGGGGTCCGTGACTCAAAGGTTAAGAACCACTGCTTTAGACCATCACGTGGCACCACTGACACGATCTTTGCTGCCCGCCAGATACAGGAGAAGTGCAGAGAACAGCGTCGTGACCTGTACGTGGCTTTCATTGCCCTAACCAAGGCCTTCGACTTGGTTAACAGGGAAGCCCTCTGGTGGACCCTCAGGCAATTTGGCTGCCCCCCCAAAATTCATTGCGAGGCAAATCCACGATGGCATGAACGGCAGTCCTGCACAATGGCACCCAGTCCGAGTTCTTCCCCATCCAAAAGGGGGTTAAACAAGGGTGTGTACTGGTACCAACTCTTTCCATTTTCTTGGCTGCCTTCCTCACTCGTGCCAATTTAGCCGGCGGGGTGGACATTAATTATCGGATGAAAGGCATTTTCAACATTATTAGACTCCAGGCAAGAACAAAGGTGTCAGCAGCTTCCATTACTGAACTTCAGTATGCAGACGACCTCACCCTTGATCACACAGAACGCAACCTACAGGAGATCCTAACACCTACATATGCATTTGCTCACTTCGGCCTTGAGGAGAATGTACTCAAGACGGATTCTTTCAACCTGCCCCTGGTTCAGATACACCACCAACCATCCAACATAACGGTACTACCCTCTCTGATGTTACCCACTTTCTGTATCTCTACTCCCACCTGTCCACCACTGCAGACACAGATGAAGAGATTCAGCATCGGATCAGATGTGCATCTCGAGCCTTTGGCAGACTGAAACAGTTTCTACTGCTGTAGGGAGCTGAAATTATCTACAAAGTTGTGTATCAAGCAATGGTCCTTCCCACCCTGCTATGTGGCAGACATGGGTAATTTACAGGAGGAACTTCAAGGGTCTTGAGAACTTTCACCAACGTAGTCTACGTTCCATCCTCCGAGTTCGTTGGGAAGACTAGTACAAATGCCATTATTCTTGCCGACACCAACTGGACTGGCCAGGTTATCCGCATGGATGACAGTAGACTGCCAAAGCGGGAACTTTATAGTAACCTAACGAATAGTAAGCAATGCCGCACTATGTAACCCTCCACATATGCAACCTCTGAACCGCTACATTGAGAATTAATCTAGAAACTGAACCTTCACGGATGGCACAGTAACACGGTCATGGTAAGAGTTTCACTTACGTGTACAACTTTGTCAATAATTACCATCCAGAGTCGATTCAATATAAGTGATGTGGTGCAGAAGATCATCCAGGATGGTCCCAGGGGTATCAAGCTGAGCAATGTACGTCAGATACTGTTGGTGTGTTACTCCACCTGCCAGCGCAGTCCCAGGGAATACAAGTTTGGCAGCTTCTAGATCTTCCGTGGAGTGTATCTGAAAGGTCACACATTACAACTATGTTCTACCACCTACACCCAACGCTGTCGGCATTAATCTCATCACTCAAGTGTTGAAGACTCCATCTTTAAACAAATACTAGTGATTGTACAGATTGCAATTTAATGCCGATAGTAAACACTTCATTGAAGCCAAAGCATCAAGCATGGATATATTCTATAAATATGGTTATTTAAGCGGAAGGGGGTTCCCTTGATCATTTTAGCTCAGATGCATCATAGCTGCATACGATAAGCCTGCCAGCTAACCGCTCCCTCGACTTCATCCTACCTGTTCATTTCTCAAGTTAAATAGTACAGTATATTGTATACTGTACAAATGAAAAAAGAAGATACTAACACTACTAGATTTAATTTCACTATTTTAGAATAAGCAAGAAACATAAACGCGCATCTGGATGCTTCATAAACTGGCAATGTATGTCACCGGCATGGTTTATATTCACTGCTGATCACGCGAGTATTTAGAAGAAATGCTTAACTGCAGTATTTTCCTGCAACAACACCTAAGTAAAGAAACCGAGTTTGGTGAAGATAAAACTTTTGAAATAACTAAACCAGCAACGAAATTTGGTTAGAGATATCATGCATCTGGCAGCGACACTACTTACTAGAGCAGATTGAAGTGCATCCCATAATGGGGCATTCAATGCTGTATGTCAAAGTAATAATTTAATTCTTTGGTTTATAACCTGGTTAAATAAGTACAGTATTTTCTATTGTAAATACGGTACTGTATAGCCACAGGTAGGGTTCAAGTGAACATCACTAGTGACGATCACAGGACACATTTTGTTGAGAGCATCATATACAGGATAATTATATTAGGGATCATTCAATGTTGTATGTCACATTAAGTAGTAGCTCAAACTCTTCATAATTTTATGAAATACCTGTATATGTCATGTCATTATAAACATTCATTAGTACTGGTGTTCAAGTGCACAACCCACACCAGTTACCATATTTTGGGTATATACAGTATAATACATAAAAGGGGTTACTGGAGTAGTTTAAAATTTCTGTTCAAGAATTTTGAACTCCCAGTTCTTTAGTGGAGTGCCAAGTAAAGCAAACTTATTTTGGATCTTGCTAACCTGAGTCACAAAAATTCCTCTGTTAATGGTTATATCTGCCTGGACATCACCGTTGGTGACAACACTATAATACAGTCTGTCTTCCGCAGCAGCCATGATGTTTTTTTGGCGGTTGTACTCGTGCTGAGGAAGGAAAAATATGTAAAGTCGTCAATAAATTATTAGAATTTCTCAATGTATCCGAACACAAAGGCATGCATGCACACACTAGCAGCATCCCAGTTACAGCTTAAATCATTTGTGCTCGAGGTGAAACGTACAGTAGTGGAGAGTCCAATGCATTCCAACGCCATCACATACTGTACTCCTATACACACAAATACTTTAATCCTACAAATACTTTAATCCTACACATGCACAACCACTTACGCAGACATTTTCGCACAAACTTTTATCATTGGTAAGTAAAAAAGGTTAGCTGACTAAACTAAACCTCCTAGGAGAAAGGTAATAATGTTCTGGTGACCTTTACTACTTGCATTAGGTCACTAACATTACCTGAAGTCACCTTCTCTTATAAGACAAAAATGTAATACAGGTAATTAAGTGCCTCAAATATATAGCAGTCACTGTCAACAGTAATCCTCCACTACATCACCCACTACCTGCGCCAGGCCAGGTCCTTTCTGCACGCTAAGTCACACGAGGTGGAGAATGGTCAACTTGGAGTTTGTTGGAGGGAGGGAGGGGGGGAAGCAGAGGGATGGGGGAAGCAGGGGGGGGAGGGGCGCATGCTCATAAACGCAGAGAAAAATCACTTTTGTTTGCGTTATTTTACAGTGCCACTAAGTATGCCCAGAATAATTTTCCATACCTTGAGGTCATTAAATGCCTGGCCAAGATCGAGCGTCTCCACAGCAACAGGGTCTGAAACCTCCACTAGCCTGGTCCTCACAAGATACATTGTTGCACCATCAGAAGTTGGCAATACCATCTGCAAAACACAATTGACTTTGTCCTAATGTTATTTTCGAGAGTAACAGGTCAGCTTACCAGTTGTGAACAGGAATAAATGAACAGCTACATGAACATTTTCTATGAACCAATCGGCTATTGACGAAGGGTATAGCTTACGGGCCAAGTCAGCGTGGAAATAGTATAGTCTAGGCTTTACTTCATGCAAGATTTAACTTATATTGTGCTATAGGATGGATGCTTTTATATTTATGTACTTGTATATGTACAGTAAAATCTCAATGATACGAATGAACATGTTCCTTGAAGTCTGTTCGTATAACAGAGCGAATAATACAGGAGTTAAATAGGGATGCATTCCTGAGCACCGAGAAAAGGAATGACAGTAAATAAATGACATTCATTATGAGCGGACAATCTGGGAAAGCAGATTCAAACACTGGAGAAGTAAAGGGTGGCTGGGGGGAGGACGGTAGATGCGCAGCCTGGCTGAATCGCTCAAACATCACTGCACACCTACGTTACGAGAGCCCTCACAGACCACATCACTGCTTGTTCCGCCTACTCATTCGGGTAAACTGAGCAACACTGTAGCCAAATTAGACTTGTCACAGCTTCCACCAGGAAGGCTACTGGGCCAAGCTATGAGGAGTTACGGTTGTTTTTCCAACTGTGCAAACTATGCGATGTTTGTACTCAAATTAATCACGCTTACAAGAATTGTAGCAAAGTAAGTTACATCCTGCCAAGTCAATAGTGACATTTTATGAGCAAAAAATTTAAACCCTCTACACGACATAAATAAGCACTAGGTAAACTTTGCCGCCTGGCTATCAACAGCTCACCTCCCCCAGCCAGGGTGAAGGTTTTAGGCTTAAAGTTTTAATTTTATGAAATGTCGCCGACTAGATTTAGTAGAATATAACCTGCATTGTTGAAATCCTTGTAAGTTAGTGATTAATTTGAGTATAAACATCAGTTTACACAAACAAATTTTTTTAGTCATTTAGTGTAGTACACTGAGTGCAAAGTGTGTACATTAATACGTTAATCAATATGTCTTTCACAGAAAAGTCTGTAGTATAACCCCAGTAGTCACTGTACTCCCTTCTCGTATCATCGAACAATATCACTGGTATAGTGAAAATAAGGTGCAAATTCCTTAACCTCGTATCGAATTCTCGTAAAACGAGGTCCCCCTGTATATGTATTTTTAATTTGTGTGTGTGTGTGTGTGTGTGTGTGTGTGTGTGTACAACAAATATTAACCATATATTGATTCTGTAACTTCTCACAAAGCCATGTACAGTATTGCGATAGGGCGGCAAAATGTGACTGCAAGGAAAAGTGGAAATTTACATACTGTAAATCAATAGTTTTCCACGGAGGCATCAGTCAAATTGCTGTGCAAGTTCCTGGATTTATCCATATTTTTACCCTTTTATGGTTATATTTGCTATGGTTAGCTAAAACTGAATGTTCAGTCTCCTATACGATACAAGTTTGAGGTACAGTACTAGATGTTCCTTAGTCCAAAATTATTAGTTTGTGTTGCATTATAAGGAAGAGGGCAACATCACCTACATGCTCTGAAGTAATTTATCTGGGAACAAGTAAATTTCTAGTGACCATTTTTTATCAAACTATTCCAAGGGAAAGACATACAGGTAGTTTATTATTTTAAAACGTGTATGTTACTGGACTGGTATAGTTTTGAGAGAATTTCTTCAGTGGAAATATAGGTCACTTTTTTGTTTAGCTAAACTTAATGTAGTCAAAGGCCAAATAATGAAATAATTTAAAGGAACCTTATCACAAAAAATCAGGAATAAACCTGTTGGTGCACTTAAAATCTCAATTTTCAAAACTAAAATTTAACAAATCCAAAACCACAAAGTCAATTATCACTTACCTTGGTAGAATCATCAAAGACATCTGTATAGGCAAAGCCCTTAGCCCAATCCATCACTCCTACATCCAGGTTACCTCTGTATGCCTGAAAAAAATATTAAATTGTAAACAATTTCTACAATATGAATTTTGTACCTATATACATTAATTTCATTTCAATGAGACTCACTTTTGTTAATGGATCTATGCCTTTCATTTTAATTTCATCTCTTACAAAGGGATCAAATAACACCCACCACTTTAAACTGCGGCATGGGGAATACAGGGTCAAGAACATACCCCACCACATCTGTCCCTTGACCAGCGATCAGCACCACTTCACCTCGACATGACTTCAGCTAGTGAGCAGATCAGGATATGACCAGTTAGACAAGCTCTATATACCTTATCAATTGTCAGTACTACTTGATCATTAAATTTACTAGCTTGATAAATAATGCACCTTATTGAGACAGTTAATAGATTTAATTAAATTGCAATAGCTTCTTATATCCAATATTTCACAATTCACAAATGCTACTTACAGTGATAGCTAAAACGCCATCAAAACTCTTCAAACCAGTACTAGTTAATAAAACTTGCAGAACCTCATATTGGGCGTCTTTCTGAACAAATATATTTAGTTTGTCGGGGGAGACTGTCAGCAGATAGTTCTCAAAGCCTGTGTTGAACATGATCCAGGAAGTCACAGGTGCTGCCAATGTCTGTATCTTCTGTATCCTGAACCGCAACCAGAAATCTTCCTGTCGTGGTAAACAATGTACCATTAACATATCTATTAGTAATTTTTCAAATATTTATAAAAAATATTAGGCTTTGAATATAATTAAATTAGAAATACAGGAAAGCCTTCAATAATGACCGTTCCACTAACGATGATTCATATTTAAGACCTTGGTTAATTTAGTACCCAATTCAATTTACAGTCATTTTCTTCGTATTTAAGAAAAACAAAAATGGCATTTTTCTAAAAGGCAGTGAAAATCGTTCCCAAAAACGGATTTGGGAACAAATGAGAGATTTCAATTCCGGCTATTGGAGAGTTCCGGGTTTGAAGGATTCCGGCTAATGGAGATATACAAGAGTTGATAATGTAGAAGGAAACATTCCTCGATTGAAAAATAAACACCCACAACAGATCTCTTGTCTATGATAGGTTAAATTAAATAATTGGACACCACAGAAAATGCTATTACCTTGAGCTCGTACACAGCGAGATGAGGTTCTTGATGGATTGTTATTAAGACTCTTCCACCACTCTGTAACACTTTCATCCCAGTGCCTTGTGCGTGCCACTCTCGGGCAATACTGCCAAATAAAAAGGATGACCACTTTACATATCAATTCTAAATGCTAATTCCAACATGCCTGAGAATAAACAATTCTAGCAGATGATGACTTGGCCATTTCCAAACGGATATACAGTAAATATTTTAATTACAATAGTTCAAGATGTTCCACTAGAACATCAGTGACGAATTCAGGAACATTATACAGAATGAAATGCAGAAAAAACAATATTGTTTAAAAATCTGAAAATTACAAAATTAAAAATTTGTGCCAAGTACAAGTTCCCCTTTATGGAATATAGGGGAGAAGGTCCTTTAAAGTTTTACAGACCATATCTTGAAACTCTGAAGAAACCCATTTATTCAAAGACAACATTAGATACTAATCATTTCACCACTAAGCTTAATATTTGTCCAGGATGTTGGTCTGTTTGTGAATGATTTATGACCTTTTTGTCCAGATGCGTTTGTATAGGAAGAAACTTGTGATGTTTGGTAGGGTCACACTGGATAACACCTTCGTGTCTTCAGCCAGTGGATTTTGTGCAGTGTTCACAATGCTGTACAATACCTTCCACTCCACTGCACACCCTAATATCTGCTAATATTTATGCAATTCTGGTTAAGAAGAACTTGTCTTCAATTTGAGATTTTGCCTAGATATTTAGATAAAATCTCAAATGGTGAAAAATAACCGATATGGTTGCACATGCATTCAAGACAGACGAGTGAAACCTCCAATATAAGTAAAAACGAAATGTTATAGTTTGACGACATCAAGGCACTTTAAGAACGTTGCTAACACTGAGAAAACGAACGATTAGAGTAATACATCAAGTGCTAATATAATAAAACATTTAAGTTTGTTAGAATACCTTTTGGTGCGGTTATTTGCTCTGCCAATTTTGACCGTGATTAATCGCAGGAACATATCCTACTCTACTTTTGTGTCACTCCTACAAAATATGGTTCAATCAAACATACCCGAATTAGTGGTTTACATGGAAAGGATCCCCAAGTAAACCAATAACTTATTGTAATGTACTTCTAGAATGTAACCACCACAGTACACTACTCTAATATCGTCTGGTCGTAGTTGGTATGATATTTGAAGCAGCTTTTTGTCGTCGAACATTAAATATTTACGTACCCAATTGCAAAGGCTGGAGAGACTTTGCCAACAGTAATCTGATGAAACTGCTGTATGGTCCTGCCAGCACCAAACATTACGAGAAATCGTTTTTTCTGGATGGTACCATCATGGTCAGCAAAGGTCTCCCCATAGCCCAGATGAGATACCGCCTGTCCCACACTCACACTACTCAGTTCTTCCACCTCATGCCCTTCCTGTATAGGGAACCAACAATATATATATTAGTAAAATAATCCTACATTTTATTCAATAAAATAACCACACGTTTACAAAAGGTTTAGCCACATTTCTATTATATGTAACTTCCATTACAGTAAATAAATGGACTAGACCATTTTTATATGCCAGGCTACTGCTGCTCTTCCTTGAAATGATGGTAAGCAACTGCATCCATCATTGAATGTTGGTTGTGGTTTGTTAATTGTTTCTGCCAATTGGGAAACCAGTAGGTTGGGACCAACTGTTGCCCATCAGCAGTGCCGGATTAACCATGAGGCACTTGAGGCACTGTCCTAAGGGCTGTTTACCATTGTTTGTATACATGCATTGTCTATGCATACTGAACATTATTTCTGCAGTCTATATAAATGCAGAAATTTATAATTGCATTGTCTATATACATACTGAAATGCATACATCATGGTCTGCATATAAGCTATACCACCTGCTAATTTGTATGCTGAACTTACTGCCCAAGATATCTAACTATATCTGTCTACAGACCAGAAATCTTTTTCGACTCGGTTGCAAGACCAACCAAAATTCACCCAAAAAAATCAAACTATATAAGCAATACTCACAACTCTGTAAAATGTTACAATATTCCCCATGGCAGTGATGAGGACAGTCTGTGAGCCTCCCTGCTGCACCTGGTAGTGGAATCCCACAACTGCTACCACCTCCCCATCGCCACCTGCACATTACATTGTACTTATTACTTGTGTTTTTAGCAAGTAAACGTATTTCGCAGAGGACTTCTGCAGTACATAAAAAAATAATATTCATAAGGCAATTCTTATACAGTTACTTAAAAATTACACAAATACCCATTACCGTACAGATATACCTTAATAACTGATGCGTATGCACTGTTAAGCATGAGAAAAAACAAAGCAAGCCTAATAAGCATTAAGAAATGCTAGCATAAATTTCGTTATTCACCAGTATTGAAGTCTCGTGTAACTGAACTGACCTGATGCAATGTCAGGTGAAGGTAGTGTGGGAGATTAGTGGTCTCATGACTGACCTGATGGAATGTCAAGTTAACCTTTCTTGGGTGCAGGATTAGTGAGTCATGACCTGAAGAGGTCTTTAATAAACACGAAACCTAAAGCATTTTTAGAGAGATTGTGCTAGGTAGATAGGGGTTGGGTGTAAACGGGACTGCCCAGTATGGGCCAATAGGCCCGCTGCAGTTTCCTCCATTCTTATGTTCTTGTGTTCTTATATGGAGTGAGAAAGCAGAAAGGTGCGGGTAATTAGAGAGATGGAGTGAAAATGAATGTTGCCAAGCGCTCCTCAACAGCCGAGGGGGGTATGGTCGCATGGTCCCTGTCCTTGTGAAAAGGTTGTACCCTTCTATGTGGTACTCTGATAAAAAAATTTTGCTCGCCAGATTCATCCAAGTTTCGGTGATTGCTATGAGGTCTACATTCTCGGTACATACAACCACTCTCAGCAAGTCTTATTTCTAACGCTCCTACCGTTTGTATAGTATACATTTAAACCTACCCTTCCCTGGTCCTGTTTTACCCCTTGTCCTGAGTAAGGAATTTTACTTCCCAGGATCCGCGTTTTTTTTACTCCCACTTACCCCGACCTCTCTACTGACGAAATCCCCCATCATTTGGAGTGACAATTTCACGCTCCAGGGATGCAGACAACGTCTTTCCCCCCGCACGAGACAAGTGTACTCCGTCACGACTGTACAGGTAGTCGTTACCATAGAATGGTTGCCAGTTATCAATGAATGCCCAACCATTGTTTGCACAATGTTTTTCCAGTCAAGTTATAGCAATTGCCCTGGACAGCCATTCGCGACCAACCCCTCTTCTAGGCAAGACACCACATACTATCGGGATCCCTCCCCTATCTCTAATCTTCCCCAGCGCCTCCCTACACCTCTTGAAAAGTTGCTCATTCCTAACCTTCCCTATGTCGTTTTCCCCCCACACTAAGACACTATTGGATTGGTACCCTCCCCTGACAAAACCTTATCTATACTCTCAGCTACATGCCCTATCCCAGCCCCAGGAAAACACATCCTAGTCCTACATTTCCTATCTCTTCCACAAAAAGTTCAATCTAAAAACCTCACCTGGCTGTCCCCAACTACCACGACCTTACCACTGGGAAGGGTTTGTACAAATGCCCTTTCCTCTCCTTGCACCACACCGTCCTGCCTCTTCTCTTCCTCCCTCCCTCCCTCTTTTCTTCCCTGCCAGCTTCCTCCAACACCTGGTAGGGGTTACTGCACTTCACACCCTGGTCAGCTTCCCCGAGTCTGACCCTAGTCCCCTTGGAGACAACCACTCTCCACGCCTGCTCCTCCTTCGCAGGTGTCCTGCTAGGCAGGGCACCTACCTGAAGGAGTTCAGTTCTGAGGGCTTCATTCTCCCCCTTTAGAGTGCATCCATCTCACTCCTCAACTCTTCCAGCTGACTTAACAGAGTGGCCAGGAGGTCGCGTTTCCTCACTCCACTCCTCTTCCCCCACAACAATCCAAGTCAGCCATTTCCTCTGGTCACTAACGCAAGCACTTATGGCACGTCCTTCTCCAAGCTAGGTCAGGTAGCAACTGAGCTAGGTCACTCCAGTCGAGTCTGACATTTTACAAGAGCACCGCCAAAAGCAAAATTCATCCCATTAATCGTTATCAACCTGTCTGCTCCCCCACTGCTGATTGGGAGGAAGTTGGTGGGGGTGTTGGCTGCCAGGTGGAGAGATTTATGCTTACACAAGGATTATGAAAAGGCAGGGCGTTTAATTTTTTTTTCGCTTATAAAATGTCACCGACTTCGGAAAATACAACTTGCATTGTTGGAATTCTTCTAAGATAATATTTAATTCGAGTATAAACATACCTTAGTTTGCACCAGAATTTTAGTAATTAACTTCGTACATTTGAGTACAGGTTGTGATAATTTGTAGTTGCACAGAAGACGTGGCTGCAGTTTCAAAGCTTCGTGACCTCACTAGTGTATAATGCATCTCCATATGCCCTGGTTTATTCATTGATCAGCTGTCCAAGTGCAAATGTAGCCATGTTGAGCTATCATGTATCAATTATTTTTAAAATGGAAATTATAAAGTAAAATGTTAGAAGACAATTGTTTAGTAGTGCTGTTAATGTGTGTAAGTGTCTCGGCGTGCCACCTCACCACCTGAACAAACTCGGGAACTTCAAATCGCATAATATCCTTGGCAAGCTAAACACACGAAATTAGGACAAGCATTCAGCGAGAGTTTTGTTGTGTGACTGCATGGAGATGAATTAAAGGATCAGCTGTTGAGCTTATCGCTTGGCAACACTGGTGCAGGTTACCACTCCTTTCCTCTCTAATCTCACACACCTTCCGGATTTCTCCACATTTTGAAATGTAATGTAATGTTGAAGTGATAAAACTTTGCTCGTTTAGACTTGCACATCACAATCTCCCTAAAAATACGCTTTCGTGTTTATTGAAGACATCTTCAGGCCAGGAGACCCATTAATCCCCCACCCAAGAAAGGGTGACTTGACATTCCATCATGAAACCACTAATCCCCCTCCCTACCTCTACCTTACATCGATCAGGTCAGCCCCCCGGCCCCCCCCCCACAAAAAAAATACTTTACTTTCATCTTTATTCCAGACATCTTCAAATATTTATATTTTCTCCCTTGGAAAATTTGTTCCTAAAGCCGTAATTTTTGGAAAACTCCTGCTTTGGGAACGATTTTCTAAAATTTCAATTCCAGCTATCAGACTCCTGGGTTTGAGGGATTCTGGCTAACGGAGATATTACTACCCCAGTACAAACATACAAAACAAGGTGTGTATTAAAATCGTGTAGATAGTGGTCACGACTGAAACCCACTGAAAACCCTACAGACAATGGAGCCACACTGCCAAGTACAGTATGGAAACCTGACAAACCAATCAACCACACCCATCCAAGGGACATTTTGGTACATGAATGCTTCCAGGATTAAAAAACCAATTCCAAAGTTCAAGGAGGAGATGGAGAAAGAGGAGGCAGCTCACCTAGAGTGGGGCAGGTCATGGGCTGGGAGCCACAAGGTAGACACACCTGAGCCAAGTGACCTACAAATCCCCGACACAGGCAGCCACCTGGACGACAACACGCACATTCCTGCACAAGAAAACCACATTACTAAAAATATATATTACTATCTACAGCTTAATTAAAAATAACTTTTATACTACTGTAATTATGCAAAGTGAAAGACATGGCAACACTTAATGCCTGTGGAAAAATGGAAGAGACCATGAATTTAAATGTGCAAAAGAAAAAAGCTAGGGTAAAACATTGACAGGCAAGCACCTAAGGAGGTATAAAGTGGTGCAATCAAGCATTTAAGGCCAATCAATGCATGCATGGTAAATGATTATTATGTATGCCTGGTATGAATGCCTTTTTCTGAAAAAATCTGTTGGGTTTACTTTTGGCAGTAGCAACACTGGGATAGCACTTCAGGGTATTAATCTGTACTAAAGTTAAAGTATACAATTTTCAGACCCACCATGCCCCAATGAACTCGCTTGTGTACCATGACATTATTTGCCCCCCCCATTCTTGGTAGCAACATGCCTCCCACCTTCCCTACACTGCTTTACCACATGGCGACCACAACTCTCCCACCCTCCTTGAAACAAGTCATTCAATGACAGCAACCCATTATACCTAATGGCACTAGCTCACTGGATGGAGAATAAGAGAATCATTATTCAAGTTAGATCCATCACTAGGTTACAGACTTAACCACTCGCCTAGTTCTAGTACAGTACTTGGGTCTTGGCAACTCTTAAATAATGTTTGTATATTTGACCATTGAAAATATACTAATTAAGGTAGGACTAACATTTCTTAACCAACAAATCTTTAATCCTTAAATAATAATGTAGGTCTTATGTGTATATGGTCATGTAACCAATACTAGTATTAATAGTTGGCAAGATAACATTAACTGGAAATTAGAAAAAAAAAGACCGATTGAAACCCATAAAAACAATATTCTAGTGTTAATTTCTAACCTGAAAATTATGTTTAAGTGTGTCTAGTTTTTGGATCTAAACATTAAGTATTGTGTAGGAGTAATATTCTACTACCCCATTGTGGTGATTCCATACATACAATTGATGCAGAGCATTTCAGTGAACGAGAGATTTCCGGGTAATGAGACTAATGCCAGAAAAATCCCTCGTCCCCAGAATTTTCCGGGCAAAGGAAAGATGTTCTAGGAAGCTCCAGAAATTGCACACAATCTCTCAAACCCAGAAAAACATCCTCCATCCCCGGAATTTTCCGGGTACCGGAAAAATTCTCGGAATTTCTGGAAAAATGAGCCGGATTTTCATCTCAAACCCAGAAAATACTATCCCCAGAATTTTCTGGGTGCAAGGGAAATTCTGGATTTGCCAGAAAAAGTTCCCCTCTTAAAATTGTTCCCAAAGCCAGAATTTTCAGGAAAATTAGGACAGATTTTTCAGAGAAAATTTCAATTCAGTCTATCAGAGAGTTCCTGTCAAGAGCAATTCAGGCTAACTATAGGAATATTTAATTTAGTTTACAAAATTCACACAGTATTGTCCCACAGTTGTGTGAACTAAATAGGCTCTACAATACTGTACAGTGTTTCTGAATTGTCTCATGAGAACAGCAGGATTATTAGTTAAGTACTTTTCAGAGTAATCAAAAGAAAGTCACAGACTCGCCATTTTGTATCCATCTCCACAGTCACAACCGGTAGAGCTGATGGTCCAATTGTTATGCAGCTTCAGTTCCTCCAGTCTCCCGTCCACTTCCACATAAGCTCTTCCATCATATCCCTACAATTGTGTTCAAAGTTTCAAGATGAAAAAAATCTTGAATGTTATCAACCTAACTTTATGCTATTCACATTTGTTCTTTAACATTTAATTTCTCCCCAAAACCGTATTTACAAAAAAGTTCAGATTTAATACATGAGCAAAACCACTATGCAAATAATTCCATGCTCCAATGCTGTACAGTATATATTTTTGAAGACACTAATTGCATACGTTAGCAGTAACTGTCTACAGTAACATCACAAATACCTTGTAAACAGCAGAAAGATCTGGCAAATTGAGTGGGAAGACCTCAACAATACGGACAGGTCCCAGATGTCCTAGTCTGTCAACACCTTCTACCTCCACCACTGTCAGAAATTAACTGGCTTAATTTTTAGAACCCACAACAACAGATGATAAAATTGAATTGTTACAACATACAGTAGTGGTGGGGGGAAGAAGTTATGAATACATTCGAGTCAATACCTAACGGTTTTGGTTTGACATGTATGGCAGGTTTGCTAATATCTAGTTCAGTTTGAAGAAAGTATATATACAAGTTTAACAATGTTAATGAAAACTGGTGGGTTATGGGATGCAGGTTAAAACAAATACTACAGTGTTTGGTGAAGGGTTAATGTCACTGTCACCCTTCTGAATTATTACAAATGCCTGGGCAGGAGTTTGTTCTGAGGATATCCTGTAAAATTTTACATAGTTCAATAATGCAAAACGTACAAGCAAACAAGACTTCCCCAAAGTTAAAATGACCAAAGTATGTTGGTTGTTAGGACGTTCAAGTTACCTCGGGTAGACCAGAGTATGGAGCAGTGACAGTTGTTTGTCAGGACAATCAGGTTATTAATGGTGGCCAAACAGAGCAGCAACGGTGGTTTGCCAGAACATGAAATTATCTGAGAGTTAAATTGGATAGAGCTAGTTTACAATATACTGCCTAGGTTAGGTTAGCTCGAGTAAAATCAGCTTTACACATGACCCTGTAGTGGACGTCTCCCCTACAACTACGCATCGCATTCCGACGCGCTGGCGTCTCCTAGCAACCAAGCGAGAGCTGATGCCAGATGGTACGGTTGCTTAGCAACGAAACTAGTCACCGGCAACTTTCTGGGTTTTCCCAACATGATTCATAGAGGACTGGCGGCTGCTGCTGAGTATATAAGCTCTCTCCATTGAGGTTCATTCTGCCCATCTTCCTGAACAAGCAACACCTCCTCCAGTAAGCTCCACGCTGTTAACATTCATTCAACCAGGAGGCCAGCAACAGGCAACATCTTCTCTAACGAAGCTCCTGCACATCTACCTCCTTCAACACGCTACTCACCGAACGTTTTCTACTGAGCAGCAGCTCACCAGACGGCACCTCCAGCACCAGACTGTCTATCATACAACTTATATTATATAAGAAAACCACATTAGAGTTTCCTTCCATCCTGAGTGCTAGACAACATTAATATCTCGAAACCCCTACAACCCTCTGACTCGTCTCCATGGATACAGCATCTTCACAATATTTCTTTGGCACTAATAGAGCTCAGGCTCTCAATTGGCTCCGCCATGCCAAGATTGTTAATATTATGGACTTTTTTCGGACTAAATGAAGTTTCAAACAAAATGCCTAATCGAGTCATTTTCAAACAGAGGTCAGTGCTATCTTTCAAGATCCTCTACATTGATTACATTATAAGTATTTGTAATGTACAATTAGCTGTATATCATTTCCTTAATACCAGTGCTAATTTGCAAGGAGGAATTTCAATTGAAGAGAAAACTTTAACACCGAGCCGGTTCTCCGAACCGACTTTATTGCACGACTTACTGACAAAAACAATTATCCCTGCACAATGGATTATCTTGTGCAAAAGTTTCATCCTACATGAAATTCAAGTGAAAAATAAATAGACTAGTACTGTGCCTGAAATTTTGGAATTCTGTAACGATTTTATGCATACACATTGGTGGCAGATCTCGTGGTAATACATAAAAGTAAAAATACGAGACCCTATTCCATCTTAGCTTACAAGATACCATGGAACACTATCAAAATCAAGAAACTTGTAGGATTGCAGTTTGGTTAAATTAACAGTAGTCTATGCATTATTCAATGGCATCTCCTGGTTTACATGCGTTACAAAGGGGGGGGGGGGGTTATAAAATTTTGACTTGATAACTGTTTATGGTGTCTAACATAATGAGTCTGCAATAGGCCAGTTGGCCTGTGCATGGCAGCTCCTGTCGAGAGTTACTACCACTATCATCCATGAATCTATCTAGCCTCCTTTTGAAACTTTCCAGAGTTCCCGCACTTACTACAAAGTTACTAAGCTTGTTCCACTCGTCCACCACCCTATTTGTGAACCAGTTTCTTCCTATCTCCCTCCTAAACCTAAACTTATCCAACTTGAATCCGTTGCTCCGAGTCCTATCCTGCTCGGATATTATAAGAACTTTATCTATATCCCCTTTATTGATTCCTTTCACCCACTTAAAAACTTCTATCATATCTCCCCGCACTCTTCGTCTTTCTAGGGAATGCAAGTTAAGTTTCTTTAGCCTATCCTGATATGGAAGGTTTCTAAGTCCCGGAATCATTTTTGTCATTCTTCGCTGCACCGACCAGTGAATTTATGTCCATTCTATAATATGGGCACCAGAACTGAACCGCATAATCGAGGTGTGGCCTGACTAGCGCAAGATATAGTTGCAATAAGACCTCTGCACTATTGTTACTTACACTTCTAGATATAAAACCCAATACTCTGTTTGCCTTATTTCGAACATTAACGCACTGTTTTCTAGGCCGTTGGTCCGGGCTTACAAGTACCCCTAGGTCTCTTTCACAAGTCGACTTCTCTAGGTTGATGTTAAGGCTGTATACATTATAAGTATTTGTTCTTCCACTATTAAGTACGCTGCACTTCCTGTTGAATTTCATTTGCCATTTTTCAGACCACCCCTGCAGTTTATTTAGATCCTCCTGTAATGCATTTGCATCCTGCCCTGAATTAATTTGCCGCCCTATTTTGGTGTCATCCGCAAACTTGCTTATGTCATTGCTGATCCCAGTATCAATACATACAAGTGCAATACTTATACTTGATAGTATTAGCCAAAACATTGTCCCAACTGAATTGAATTTGCATAATAGCACCAGTGACAACATGGCTGGCTTAAAATAATCTAAAAACTAAAATGCAAAAAGTAGAAGTGTACCTTAGCTTATAGATGGTAGGGACGGAAGATCACGTGGACCTCGTGGGCTTATTGGAGAGTTAAATCATGATCTCCAAGTCTCAATACAAAATTAAAAAACACTATTGATGTATTGATTAGTTGATAAAGTTACTAGAACATCCAGTGGTCTGCAGATCTTCCTTGCCTGAAGCTCGGCGCTTTGTCCCTCGATGGTTGGTCGTGCTATTAACCGACGCCATTCCACATCTTCCCGTTCAATTTGCAGAAAATGTCTTTGGCCTAATTTGAATTGTATACCTCCTAAACTATAAACTTTATTCGGTAAACTTATTTTTATTATGATGCATTTATTAAATTTGGTATTTATGCAGTGTATAAAAATGAATTTCAACTTGCTGCCAGACCATTTCCGGTTCCCTAGTATTTCTGTGTGAATGTGGCTTTCACCTGCACAGATCTATCCAAATGTAAGTGTCATTTAAGATAATGATTTTTATTTGTGACAGGTCTATTTTTTGAAAATGTATAGTCCCCCTTCATTAGTGCATTTACAGGGGCTCGTCAGGTTTTGTGCAGTGTGGCAGCTGTGTTCTGCATTGGACAGAAGGAAACTCCCAATAGTAAACATACTATGGAATCAAATTAAAACTCAAAGCTAATGATTTACCGACAGTTTATGTGACAAGCCCCTATAAACACACAAGTGAAAAGGAATACACGTCATGCAGGATACACACTACAAGTCTACACAGGTTTTACAGATACTGTAACCTATTAAATATATGTTAAAGAAATCCAACCGAGAAAGATTTAGGAGTAATGATAAGTAGGAATCTTAAACCAAATAAACAATGTGTATTTGCTCGAAACAAGGCTAACAAAGTACTTGGGTTCATACAAAGAAGTTAGTTACAAGACTAGCGAGGTCATCCTAAAACTATATCTTGCGCTTGAGAAACCTCACTTGGATTAAGCAGTTCAATTCTGGTCACCGTACTACAGAATGGATATAGAATCCCTAGAATGATTTTAGAGGAGAATGTCAAGACTAACCTAGGGCATTACGAACCCCGAGTACAGAGACAGGTTAAAGCATCTTAAATTGCACACCCTCAAGAGGGGTAGCGAGGGGCGATATGATCGAGGTTTATAAATGGATGTCAGGGCTAAACAAAGTTGACATTACAAAGGTACTCGAACTAACCAACCAGGAGCGAACTCTTAATGGTTTTATATTAGACAAAATTAGATTTCGGTGCAAAATAGGTAAACACTGGTTTGGAAATAGAGTAGTGGATGAGTGGAACAAGTTACCAATCATTAACTAATACGCTGGATAGCTTCAAACATAGCTTGGATGGATATACGAGCGATATGGGTTGGGTGTAAATGGGACTGGCCAGCATAGGCCACTAGGCCTGCTGCAGTTTCCTCCATTCTTACTGCATGTTCTCGTGTGCATATAAAAAACAATACCTCAAATTACGTATTTTATTTTCAATTAAGTGGTGCATCATAATTCAAGTGATGCATTACGCAAGGTCAAAACCAGCCTACCAGTCGCTCACAATTGAAAGCATGCCTCCATTTGGGGGCTGCAAGGGACAAAGGTGCCCCTACAATATGGAATACCCCCTGAAAATTCATACACTATTCAGGTTTTGAGCCCAAAATTCACCTACGATGAAAAATTAAAAATCTGCCCCCATGGAGCAGCTGCCACCTACCAATGCCACCCAAGAGCCGACCCCCAAAGGTCCTAGGAATTGCCCTAATACAAAGGCCAAACTTTTACATGCATAGTAAATATCAGTAGGATACTCCCACCCACTATAGCTGCCATCAAAGTAATTAATAAATGATAGTCTAGGAAGGCATGTTTAAAACGGATTTTGAACGTTTTCTTTTGGCAATCAAACTCAATACTACATCTATCAGACCTTACCTTTCCTGTTGCCAACACCTGTGTTGTAGATGAAGCTATGCCACAAGTCATCAGGTGGTGAAGGGTAGTATGCATCTCTCCTCACTCGCTGGATCTTGTCCACGGTGTCATCATGCTTCCTTAGTTGGTCCTGGTAGATTGTCAGTATGTCCCCTGAAAGTCTGGCCAGCCGGGCATCCAGTACGCTCTCCAGCTGCATAGTAAAGGATCCAATATACACTCCAGCTGCAGGGTCACGTCCAGCTCGCATGCACGCGCTCACACACCACGGTCACATCCAGCACACGCGCACACTCCAGCTGCAGGGTCACATCCAGCGCGCGCGCGCGCACACACGCACACACACACACACACACAAGCTGCAGTGTCACAACCAGCACGCAAACACTCAAACTGCAATGTTTCAGGTACGGCCCAAACAAGGTGTAATATTAGATTCATTTCAAGTTACAACAGGGCCAATTTTAGTGTACAGTACTATAGTTTGGTTTACTTTTCTAGGGTTTATTTTCATACATTTTTGTAACTGTACAGTATATGGTAAATAAAAATATAAACAGAAGAATCTAAAATAAAATAAAACTTACACAAGGACTGTCGGATGGTGGTGGTCATTAATCATTGGACGAGGAGAATTACTTCTAATGAAGCCGATAAAGTGGAGAAAAAAATATAAAGCCTAAAATTATATTAATCAAGTAGGCCTATAGGGATCTAGCGATATACAATATACAATTCATTTCCCCTTTTCAAAACACCTTAATACATTTTCAGGTCAATCACTTTGTCCAGAAACTTGAAAAATCCAAAGAGTGGCGACCCCCAAGTCCCAGTTCCTGGCTTTGGGGCTTTTTTACAATTCCTGATATCCACAAGATAATCTGACCTAAATATTTTACCGAGGCAAGCCTATCTTTAATCACATTGCCAACTTCTGATAATATTAACACGGCTGCTGGCAAGGACTGACCTGTGCTGGGTGGAGGGATGAGAGGAGAATGGGTGTGGGTGCGTTGGTATGAGCTGACGCATCCATGGTTAACACCCCAACCGCCATTGCAGCTGCCCACCGTAACCACAGCATTGCCTGAAATATCATTAAAGTTTAAACAAATTGTTAGCAACACTGACAATTATAGGGCGAGTGTTGAATGAGAAATGTGGATCATATGAAGATCCTCCCCCCCAAACCTACTTGGGGGGGAGGATCTTCATATGATCAAGCCTGGATGGGAGGATCTGACCTGACCAATGACCAAACCTGACCTTACCTGACGTCACTATGACCACCTAACCTAACCTACACCAATATTTAGTGTAACAAGAAAGTAATCTGAATAATGTTTTATTATTTAATCCTTATGTTGTTTATTTATATTATATGTTGGGGGGGATCTTCATATGAGCGCGACTGGAGGGGTGGATCTTCAGTTGGATATTTTGGGGGGGGGGAAGATCTTCATATGATCCAGAAATGTTAGTTACGAAATGAAGATTCTACTTTATTAAAGGGATCACAAGGTCCTCTTTCTCCGAAATCTTATCGCAGCAGATACCGACTGACTGTACTTCTACTGTATATCAATAGCTACCCAGTCCAACATCGTCTTTGATTCAACCCGACGTCACTCAAAATTAACTGCGGATCTCTGAACACTTCCAAAGTATATCATCATGTGCAGTATTAAAAAAAAAAAGCAGACCATTTCCTACACTTCTCAGGTCGAGTATTTGTTAATAAATGCCTTGGTCTCATCTCCATTTGCAAGGAAAGTATTTTTTCTTGGGGCATCCCCCTACATCCTTGTGTAAGGTGAAGCGCAGAAGCGTTTACAGCGCCCAGCAGGGAAGTTCATGCTTGTCTTTATGTCTCATGAGAAGGGCGTAGAAGCCTGAAGAGTCGATGGTTTATGTCATCAAGTTATTGGAAGCAACAACTTTCCCCGAATACGAATTAGCAACTTTCGATTTACAACATGTACCTACATTACTGCTAGCTAAACAGGGACCAATGAGGGCTTAGGGCTAGGAAGTATGTCCAAACTTAACCACCGGCCCGGGAATCGAACCCATGACATCTCGCTTGCGAGGCAAGAGCAGTACTTTTCTACCACCGGCGCCGCCAGGAAAGTATTAGTTGTGTCCTGGGTTCTAGCACTCCTCGCGCAGAGCCTCGCCATGCACTTTCATTTTATTTGTTACGGTATTTTCCAGTCCACAAACTTTAAAAAGTTCATGCAAGTCATTCTGCACGGATGCAATGCCTTTTCCGATTTGCTATCTTCACTTACGGATTTGTATTGTCAAACTATAAAGCAAGTCCATATATCAATTAGTGTTAATGTATATCACAAATAAGGTGGGTTAAAAGATTGATCCTTTTACTCCACCGAGAACCTTTCTATTCTGAATGTGTGCACTGTAAAAAATTACATTAGTCTAATGTGCCCTAATACCGTACTGGACTGTCCCCAGCATTTTGTTTCGGGTGTCATTTGCCTGGTATTTACCTTAGAAAAACCCAAACACCATTCCCTGGTAAACCTTAGATCTTGTCCCAATACAATAATGGCTTCTAATAACTGTTCACCGTCGGGTGTGGTGACCACAAATTTCACTTGCAAGCATGATAAATTGGTTATTACTTGAAGTGGTCAAGTAATGCTTAAAAAACTGCAGATGTTCATTCTATCGATAGAACGGCATCTTCGTGTGTCGGTTAATATAACCTTTTCCTTTTCTATTTTTAACTTAATATTTTTTCGCCCCCTAGGCCCCGATGTAGGTCGATGACCTATGCCCAGGTGGGCTATTCCCCGTAAAAAAAATTATATGGAAGATAGTCTTCTGAAGGCAACTTAATTAAAGCGAGTAGCTAATACAGTAATATAAAAATAAAATGAATAACTTGGGGATGGCATTTCTCAAGCCAGTCAGCAAGTCCCTTACTATTCACATTTTTACAGAACCTCCAGCTTCGCCTGTTCCTACAATCAATAAAGGAATAATAATGGAGTATTTCACTCCTGCAGTTGCCACATTAACCGACTCCGCACACATCTGAACCACCAACAATTTCAATCAAAATTACGGGATATAAATACTTAACCTAAACCAAAATAATTAAGACAAGCAGAAATAATGCTTCTAGGAGAATTATTTCGGAAACTAAACAATGAACCAGACAGGGGGATCGGTGGTAGAAGCGGTTCCGTTCTCGGCTCGCAAGCGGAATGTCCCGCGTTCGATTCCCGGGCCGGTGGAAGTTGTTTGGACTTACTTCCTAGTCCCCTTCGTCCCTGTTCACCTAGCAGTAAATTAGGTACCTGCTGTAAGTCGAGAGTTGCGAATTCGTATTCAGGGACAAGTTGTTGGAGCTTCCAATAACTTGAGGACATAAACCACCGACTCTTCAGGCTTCTACGCCCTTGACTCATAAGGCATACTGTAAAGGCAAGCATGAACTTAGCATGCTTCCCTGTTGGGCGCTGTAAACGCTTCTGCGCTTCACCTTACACAATGATGTAGGGGAGTGCCCAATAAAAAAAAAATGCATCAGACAACTTCCTGCATTGACAGCGTCACTTAAAAGAAATTTACACCGATTCTAAAGATCCTGCTCTAATACAAAACTATAAAAGCACTTTTAACAACTGGAAGAACTTACACCTGTGGGTGGACGAGAACAGAGCACCAGCAACAGTCACCCTTCTAAACACAACCAGTCCACTACCGTTCAAGCAATACGTCAACTGGAGTGAGTCTGGCAGCTGGGGCAATGGCCAACCTGAGACACAGTCACTCACACGTCGCTTCCAACACACCGAAAAATTGTCGTTCGTTCATTGGTCGAGGAACATTACATCACAATTGAATTTCCAAACTGCTCGTTAGTTCCTTATAGGAGCGTTTCGCGTGACGTCACGATTTGTTTACTTTCCGAAACGGCGAGACTAGTTAGTGCCAAGATGGTACAGTGTCGACTGCTTTACTTTATTTTCGCCATTGATTGGCTTTTTAACTGTTAGTCTGTCGCCTGTTAACCGTTTGGAGTGTCGCTCACATTTCTTTTATGCACTATTGGCAAATTACGGGCATGCTCTTGCATCGCTTCCAATGTACAGTATGGTTCTCCAACATTAACATGCAGATGCACCATTTTTTCCAAGTCACTAGTAAGGAGAATAAAATTTAAAATGTAATAACCTTTATAATTTTTAATAATACTGTACAGTTACGCAAAACAAATCCAATATAGGGCATTTCCCGGGGAAATGGAAAGCTCTGTGTACTTGATATTCATTTGTAATGTTATATGATAATTAGTACCAGAAACAATGTAATACAGTAGGTACTCATTTAGATAAAACCTTATTTATTATAATGAACTATTTATTTTATGGCGTTATGATAAATCACATGGTTTGGTCAAGCATTTCCTCTATTTGGTCCGCAAACAACTCACTTCTGTAGTGTACTACTGTTCTGTAGTCAAGGATGGCTCGCGTTTCGGGGACCAGAGCGTATTGTTTTTTATAGGACACCTTTCATGCCTGAGCCAAGGGAATCCTACTGTACCATGTTGTTTGATAAATGCTGTAAAATGAGTTTATTTATTTTACTGACTCCAATGTATTCAGGTCGATCGTGGGCTCGGTTGCCAGATGTGAGTTATTTGCGACATATAATTGGTTATTTCCCTCTCTGTGATCGTGCAGCGGTTTAAGTTTTCTTCGTTGGTTATTTGAAAAATCTTACTCCAGAAAGATCTAAATTCCGGTTCTTGTTCGATTGGATCTGTTAATTTGACTTGATTACTATTTACTATATAGTTAGACTCGTTGCTGGAGGTGTAGTGGCTCCTCTCCCTTACAACTCCCAGCCAATCAGCGTACAGCATGACATGACATGAAATGCTAGTGACAGGGGGGAAGGAGGTTCAGGGGAAGAATAAAGGGAGGATTGAAGTGAATTTTAGGAGGAGAGAATCGGTGCAGTGGCTAAACACCGCTTGCGTGAGGGAGTGTAAGTTGGAGGCAGCAGCAACTCGCCCGGACGCGGGCAGGAGGCGACAGGACTGAGCCAGGTTAGCGTCAGGACAAGCGTCAGGTGCGTGTTGGGTTGGGCCATGGATTCTCAGTGCTTGGTCGGCTAGATTGTGTGTGTTGTTTTCTTGTGTGGAGGAAATGTCTTGGTATTCTTCTTAGCTTGATGTAGATTTTCTTCTAACTCTCCTCCTCTTCTTGCTCTCTTGAAGTGTCCATTCGTTCATGTTTGGGTCTTGTTGTTCGTCTTCCTCGTGTCTTAAGTCCTCATAGGTGTGGAAGAAGTCGGAGACGGTGAGGTTGACCACGTGGGCTTCAGCTCCACGGGCCTCGTGGTGTTCTTGATTCTGTGTGGCGGGTGTCTTTTCTTGTGTTTTCTTTTCTTGGTTTTTCTTTTCTGCTGGTTTTTTCTTGTCTTGGGAGCGTACATAAGAACATAAGAAAATAAGGAGTCTGCAATAGGCCAGTTGGCCTGTGCATGGCAGCTCCTGTCGAGAGTTACTACCACTCTCTATCATCCATGAATCTATCTAGCCTCCTTTTGAAACTTTCCAGTGTTCCCGCACTTACTACAAAGTTGCTAAGCTTGTTCCACTCGTCTACCACCCTATTTGTGAACCAGTTTCTTCCTATCTCCCTCCTAAACCTAAACTTATCCAACTTGAATCCGTTGCTCCGAGTCCTATCCTGCTCGGATATTATAAGAACTTTATCTATATCCCCTTTATTGATTCCTTTCACCCACTTAAAACTTCTATCATATCTCCCCGCACTCTTCGTCTTTCTAGGGAATGCAAGTTAAGTTTCTTTAACCTATCCTGATATGGAAGGTTTCTAAGTCCCGGAATCATTTTTGTCATTCTTCGCTGCACCGACTCTAGTGAATATATATCCATTCTATAATAGGGGCACCAGAACTGAACCGCATAATCGAGGTGCGGCCTGACTATAGCAAAATATAGTTGCAATAAGACCTCTGCACTCTTGTTACTTACACTTCTAGATATAAAACCCAATACTCTGTTTGCCTTATTTCGAACATTAACGCACTGTCTTCTAGGCCGTAGGTCCGGGCTTACAAGTACCCCTAGGTCTCTTTCACAAGTCGACTTCTCTAGGTTGATGTTGTTAAGGCTGTATACATTTTAAGTATTTGTTCTTCCAATATTAAGTACGCTGCACTTGCTGGTGTTGAATTTCATTTGCTATTTTTCAGACCACCCCTGCAGTTTATTTAGATCCTCCTGTAATGCATTTGCATCCTGCCCTGAATTAATTTGCCGCCCTATTTTGGTGTCATCCGCAAACTTGCTTATGTCACTGCTGATCCCAGTATCTAGATCGTTTATGTAGATTATGAACAAGAGTGGGCCTAGTACTGATCCCTGGGGAACCCCACTGGTTACACGGCCCCACTCAGATTTAACACCATCTACGCTGGCCCTCTGCGTTCTATCAGTGAGCCATGATTTTATCCAATTTAAAACTTTCCCCTCGATACCATGAGCCTTAATTTTTCTCAGAAGCCTCTGATGCGGTACTCTGTCAAATGCTTTGCTAAAGTCTAAGTAAATAACATCGTAATTTTCGTCATTATCTACTACCTCGAAGACTTTCCTAAAAAACGTTAGCAGATTTATTAGACAAGATTTTCCCTTTGTAAATCCATGTTGAGAGTCGTAGATTAATTTGCTTTTCTCTAGATGCTATCGGATGCTATCTGCTATAATTGATTCAAGAAATTTTCCCACTACTGACGTCAAACTGATCGGCCGGTAATTTGACGCTGATGCTGTCTCCCTTTTTGAATATGGTTATTACATTTTCCTGTTTCCACAAGTCTGGCATAACTCCAGTGTCTAATGATTTTGTAAATAAGTTTACGAGGGGTCCGCTAATCTGTTCCCTACGCTCTTTCAAGACACGAGGGAAAATTTCATCCGGCCCTGGGGATTTTGTTTTCTTCTTAAGAACATCCTCTTTTCTGATAGTGATATTCTTTAATTTCTCTTCTTCCTTTCCCTTAAATATCAGTTCCACCTCTGGAATTTCATCGCAAATTTCTTCTGTGAAAACTGATAAGTAGCTGTTCAATGCTTTGCTTATTTCTTCACTTCCATTTATCACTTCTCCTCTCCCTGACTTTAAAGGCCGAACTTTGTCCTTGACCTTTGTCCTATATACCTGGAAAAATCCCTTGGGATTCGCCTTGGATTCTCTTGCTATTTTGATTTCATAGTTTCTCTTTGCTTTCCTTACATTTTTCTTAACATTCTTATATAGTTCATTATACCTATTTCTGAGCTGCTCCTCCCCTCCCTTTGATTTCTTGTATATTCCTTTCTTTATTCCTATGTCATGTTTAAGTTTTCTGGTCATCCACCTTGGCTCATTCTTATTTGACCTAATTTTTCTGTATGGTATATTTTGTTCTTGTGCTTTATGTAATATATTAGTGAATATATTATAGTCATGATCAATTGTTGTGTCATCTATGACCTCACCCCTTCCTTCTGTGGACTGACGTGACCTCACCTAGGTTCCTTCTTAACCCGATAATCCGCCAACCGAAGGTTTGGGACTCAGACCATATTGTCATTGTTTTTCGTTTCCCAATTTAGGGTGAACCTGATTTCTCTGTGATCTCTGTTACCTAGTTCTTCCCCTACTGTGATATCTCTGATAATATTTTCTTTATTTGTTAATACTAGGTCTAATATATTGTCACCTCTAGTAGGTTCTGTAATTAGTTGTTTCAAAAAATTGTCCTGTACTGCGTCTAGGAAGTCTTCAGATTCATAGTCGCCTACAATGTTGTCCCAGCTAATATTTCTGAAGTTGAAATCCCCCATAATGCATAGGTTGTTATATTTTGCTGCCCTACTCATTTCCTGCCATATGGGCTGAGCTGCTTCTTTGCCAAGACTTGGGGGCCTGTAAATCACTCCCATAATGAGTTTTTCTCTTCCTTCCGTGATTTCTACCCACACAGACTCGGTTCCTATTTCACCCTTTATTGAATTATTAATACAACATTTTAATGTATCCTTGACGAAGAGTGTGACCCCTCCCCCCTTCCCTGTCTTTGTGAAAAAGGTTGTACCCTTCTATGTGGTACTTTGAGAATTCGAACTTACGATCTTTCTAATTCTCAAGAGATCGTAAGTAGATTTTCTACTTTTCTGGAAAGTAGAAAAAATGGCTCATTTTTGCCTTTGGAACCCTTTTTTCAACCTTTTTCTTGGGATAAACAACGAAAAATATGTACTTTTTTATTTATACGACACGTTAAAGTTACTATACAAATAGTTGCAATATTTATTGTAATGTTTGACACTAGAGGGTGTTACTGCTAGGTTAGGTTGTCCTTATGGTACTACTACCTGTGTACACAGGGTCCCATAAGGGTAACCCAACCTGGATCATGCAAGGCTACCTTGGTTGACGTGTCTCGCCTATCTCTATAGCAGGGGGCTGAGACAAGCTTCAGCACCCACCCCTTGGCAGCCTCACAGTTCCTAGCAGTGACAGACAGCCTTTGGTATCATCACATACCCCTTACTAGCTGTACACAACTAGCAACTTATGAGCACCCCTAGAAGCATCACATAGACCTTATGGGTGCATCAATCGGCCTTCTCAGAGACAAATAGCTCTTAAGAGCCTCACACATCCCCAAGTTGCCACAAACATCACATATCCCCTTGAAGTTACACTGCTTTGAAAATAATTTTTAACATGTACAACATTTGAAGAAAAACGTTTATCCGGAATAAAAATTCATTGGTTACAAAGCAAGTTGTGAACACGTAAAATATAAATTACTGATAATGAAGGTAAATTGTTAAACTATTGCTATACAAAGTTCTCAAATTATAGCTGCTATATATATATATATATATATATATATATATATATATATATATATATATATATATATATATATATATATATATATATATATATATATATATATATATATATATATATAATTTATTTTATTTTTTTACAAAGTGTATACATTAACTACAATACATCTGCAATTTTTAGTCATTCCAACATGTGCAATTTTGTCAACAATCTGCAGCCAAAGTGTTTGGTGTGACTATTTGTGATTTACAGATACCATCTAAATAAGTCCAAAAAACTTAAGATGAAACTTTGAAATTTTTTTCAAAAAACATTACAATTCAGAATTAAAACTCACGAAATAGTAACTGCCACTTAATCAGATAAATTTAAAAAAATTCAAAGCCATGTCTTAAGTACTGTACCACATGTTCTTATGTTTGTGCTTGTGTAAATAATTTTTTGGTGTGGTATTACGGTAAGTAATTTACTCAGGTGTTGACTATTTGTATCAATTACTGCCCCAAGGTTTATGCATATTTGCATTACTTGGTTTAACTGAATAAAACTGTGAAGATTGATGAAGAGTAAAACTATCATCATACATGCTTTTAGTGTGGTTTTAAATACTTTTCATTGATAAAAGCTGAGGAAAGGCATCCAACCCACTTTAACTCTCAGGCACTGGTAGACATTACCCCCCCCACCTGCAGGTATATTTGTGAAAATTTAGAAAACAAATAAACAATTATCTTACAAACTGGTCATGCATGATATAAACTTCCACAAGTTTGCATCACAGGGGTGTGTGTGTAAGGCAGTGGGTGAGAGGTTAGCACTTAGCAGTACGAGGTACACAACATTTGTTTTATTATGTTATTACTATTAACAATTATTATTACTGTCTGCAATAATTGATCACAAGTGTGCTGATGGTTTAGAGTTCCATACTACAATTGTGTTTGGGGGTTGGAGGGTATAAACATATGGTGAGGCTGTTGAGTCCAAGGGCAAGATCCCTACACC